ATTCTTTGCAATGTTATCCATAATTTGTTATGATCCACACAGTCAAATGCCTTAGCATAGTCAATAAAACACAGGTGAACATCTTTCTGTATTCTCTGCTTTCAGCCAGGATCCATTTGACATCAGCAACGATATCCCTTGTTCCACGTCCTCTTCTGACTCTGTCTTGAATTTCTGGCAGTTCCCTGTTGATACACTGCTGCAGTTGCTTTTGAATGATCTTCAGCAAAATTTTACTTGCATGTGATATTAATGAAATTGTTCAGTAATTTCCACATTCAGTTGGATAACTTTTTCTTGGGAATAGGCATGAATATGGATCTCTTCCTGTCAGTAGGCCAGGTAGCTGTCTTCCAGATTTCTTGGCATAGACAAGTAAGCATTTCCAGTGTTGCATCCGTTTGTTGAAACATCTCCGTTGGTATTCTGTTAATTCCTGGAGCCTTGTTTTTCTCCAATGCGTTCAGTGTAGCTTGGACTTTTTCCTTCAGTAGCATGGGTTCCTGATCGTATGCTACCTCCTGAAATGGTTGAATGTCAACCAATTCTTTTTGGTATGGTGACTGTGTATTCCTTCATCTTCTTTTAATGCTTCCTGCGTCGTTTAATATTTTCCCTGTAGAATCTTTCAATACTGCAACTCGAGGCTTGAATTTTTTCTTCAGTTCTTTTAGCTTGAGAAATGCTGAGTGTGTTCTTCCCTTTTGGTTTTCTACCCCCAAGTCGTTGCACATGTCATTGTAATACTTTACTTTGTCTTCTCAAGCCGCCTGTTGAAATCTTTAGTTCTTTTACTTTGTCATTTCTTCCTTTCACTTTGGCTACTCGCCATTCAGGAGCAAGTTTCAGAGTCTCTTCTGACATCCATTTTGGTCTTTTCTTTCTTTTCTGTCTTTGTAATGACCTTTTGCTGTCTTCATGTATGATGTCCTTGATGTCATTCCACAACTCATCTGGTCTTCCATCATAGTGTTCAACACATCAAATCTATTCTTGAGATGGTCTCTAAATTCAGGTGGGATATGCTGAAGGTCATACTTTGGCTCTCGTGGACTTGTTCTAATTTTCTTCAGTTTCAACTTGAACTTGGCATATGAGCTATCGATGGTCTGTTCCACAGTTGGCCCCTGGACTTGTTCTGACTTTCCCATTGTCTCTTTCCACAGATGTAGTTGATTTGATTCCTGCGTATGCCATCTGGCAAGGTCCACGTGTATAGTCACTGTTTATGTTGGTGAAAAAAGATATTTGCAGTGAAGTCGTTGGTCTCGCAAAATTCTATCATGCAATCTCTGGTATTGTTTCTATCATCAAGGTCATATTTTCCAACTACCAATCCTTCTCCTTTGTCTCTGACTTTTGCATTCCAGTCACCAGTAATTATCAATGCATCGTGATTGCGTGTTTGATCAATTTCAGACTGCAGAATCTTGTAAAAATCTTCAATTTCTTCATCTTTGGCCTTAGTGGTTGGTGTGCGAATTTGAATAGTCATATTAACGGGTCTTTTTAGATGTATGGATATTATCCTATCAGTGACAGCATTGTATTTCAGGATAGATCTTGAAATGTTCTTTCTGACAATGAATGCAACACCATTGCTCTTCAAGTCATCATTCCTGGTATAGTAGACCATAATGATTGTCTGATTCAAAATGGCCAATACCAGTCTATTTCAGCTCACTAATGCCTAGGATATCGATGTTTATGTGTTCCATTTCATTTTTGACGATTTTCAATTTTCCTAGATTCATACTTCGTACATTCCACATTCTGATTATTAATGGATGTTTGCAGCTGTTTCTTCTCATTTTGAGTCGTGCCACATCAGCAAATGAAGGTCCTGAAAGCTTGACTCCAACCACGTCATTAAGGTCGACTCTACTTTGAGGAGGCAGCTCTTCCCCAGTAGTACTTTGAGTGCCTTCCAATCTGAGGGGCTGATCTTCTGGCACTATATCAGACAATGTTCCGCTGCTATTCATAGGGTTTTCACTGGCTAGTTCTTTTCAGAAGTAGACCGTCAGGTCCTTCTTCCTAGTCTGTCTTAGTCTGGAAGCTCAGCTGAAACTTGCGTGCCATCGGTGGCCCTGCTGGTATTTGAATACTGGTGGCATAGCTTCCAGCATCACAGCAACATGCAAGCCCTCACAGTATAACAAACTGACAGACACGTGGGGGAAAATGTCTTTAATAACTGCTTTTTCCAAGCCAAAATCCAGTCAAGGGTCATTCATTGTATTTGGTTGCTAGGCCTTTTCAGTTTGTTTTGTTCTTTCTTGATTGTCTGGCTCACTTTCGTACAGTGTCTTACATTTTGGATTTGTCTGATCTTTGCCCTGTGGTGTTCAGTTCTTCTATAATCTTCTGCCACCTTTAAAGTGGAAATTGGGTCTAAAGCTTACCTCGACTCAGTTTAAACAGTGTAGCAGGAACACCTCTTGGGTGGTAATGTGCACTTCACATTCTGTCACATCAGGAAGACATAGTATCCAGTTGTGTACCTGTTAGTACAGATGTCCCTTCTGCCAACAACCTTTTATCTAGTGGTTTTAGCAACCACTGCTGATCGTTTCCTGCATCAGTTATTTCACTGGGATTGCAAAGTGGTAATTTGGGGGTTCTATTCCTTCTACATTTATTGGCTAGCATTTTTTTTCAAAATGATAGTTTGTTGTGTTTAAGGTGTATGTTTACACAGCAAATTAGGCCACCCTTTAACAATTCCTACATAAATTATTATTCAGTGATATTGGTTACTTTTTCACAATATGTTATTCTCATTCATTCTGTTCTGGTTGTACCATTTCCAGTATTCTAGTTTCCCTACCCTCTTACCTTCTCATTTTTGCTTTTAGAGTAATTTTTGACCATTTGGTCTCCTATAGATGATCTTTTAAAGAAGCTCATTACTAACAGGTAATGTTCTTTATTTTATGAGCAGATCTGTTATTTAGGTAAAAGGTGACCTTAGGGGATAGTTTCTGTTCAGGGTATAAGAGTACCTCAGGGCAATAGTCTCGGGCATTCCTCTAGTTTCAACCAGTCCAGTAAGTCTGGACTTTTTAGGAATTTGAGTTCTGTACCACATTTTTCTCCTGTTCTATCAGAATCTATCTATTGTGGCCCTGATCAGAATGGTCACTAGTGGTAACCACGCATCATCTAGTTCTTCTGGTCTCAGGGCAGATGAGGTTGTAGTTTGTGTAGACTATTAGTCATGTAGAGTAGTTTCTTTTATGAATCTTTGATTTCCTTCTTTTTCTTTTGTTCCAGACGAGTGGAGACCAATAGTTATATCTTAAGATGGCTGCTTGCAAGCTTTATGGCTAGCATTTTTATATTAAGAGGAGCTTTTCCTCAACAACTAGGAATGAGCTTCAGTTCCTTTTTAAAAGGAAGGATAAATATTTATTTCCCATCAATTACCAGTTTTCAGAGTAAGGAGTTTGGTAAAACAGTTACTTCATTGGTGACAAATGAAGTTTTTTTCCTGTTTTCTTTGTGTATCACATTGGACTCGTGGATTTTATTTTTTGGTATTTTACGGTCTCTTGTATCGTTATTCTTTTTGACACTCAAATTGCTCTGATTTTTTTGTCCATATTTTAAGAAAGACATCCATTTGCCTCACCCATCAGGCTGAAGTGGTGTCTTGATTGCTGTACTCGGATTAGGTCATGATCATAAACTTCCATTTTAAGTCTTTAAGAAAAGCCAAGCAATTAAATTGAATCAGAGCCCCTAAGGGTAGGATATTGGTAGGGTTTTGCCACTGCAGTGGAGGAGGTTATTGTGATCACAGGGAAGACCATGCTGCCACAGTGGGAGGGATCGTGGTCAGAGCCTGGAAGGGCCTTAAGGAGATGGTCAATCTTCTGTCCTCCATAATGTGTCCTGAGAAGCCTGTATCAAAGGTAAATGTTTGAAACCAAGTGACACATAGTATGGAGGAGAGATTAGTCCCAGAGAGCTAGGCATCCCTAATTACATTTTACCTTACAGAGCTACTCTCTGATACTCTAGTTCAAACTTTTTGCATATACAGGTTTCCTCTGCTATCTAAAAGTGGAGTGTTCCTGTGAAACTTTTCATAAGGTGAAATGGCATGAAGCAAAGAAGCATTTACCATTGATCTATATGGGAAAAAGTTCTGTGCATTCCCAGACCCATCTTGCTATGGATGCACAAAATCAAGATAAACCCAGATGCTCACAGACACAGTTCAAAGCTATGGCAGCTTGATGCTGAGGTGCTGAGTGTAGTTCCTGGGGAAGATGCTTGGCAACACCACTGTCACTGCTCGCTGTGCATGCTGCTTCTTTAACAGCTCACTGCAAAACACTGCGCACTATTTCTGCTTTTCACCTTCATAAAAGTGAAAATCCTCTTTGGATTTCTTTTGGGTAGCAAAAATAGGTACTAATGTAGGTCTTTTGTAAAAGCAAAGTGGCCTAAGGTGAACTTTCAGAAAGTAGGAAATACCTGTAATTGATTCTTCCCCCTTCCCAAACACAGTCATTCAGAAGCCCAGCTTTGATTACGTCGTTAGTCAGGTTGTACATTGCAGAAGAGGGTACAGGGCACGTCTTTAGACCCTCAGGGAATTTTTCACTCTTAGGGGTAGGTAAGGAAAAGTGTTGCTGCCCCAGCAGATGAGGATTTGACTGCCCCTTCCTGACAGGTCCCTGAGCTGCGCAAGAAATCCCGCCGAGAGTACCTGGCCAAGCGGGAGCGAGAGAAGCTTGAGGACCTGGAGGCAGAGCTGGCTGATGAGGAGTACCTTTTTGGGGATGTGGAGCTGAGCCGGCATGAGCGGCGGGAGCTCAAATACAAGCGGCGAGTGCGGGACCTGGCCCGGGAGTACCGGGCAGCCGGGGAGCAGGAGAAGCTGGAGGCCACAAACCGCTACCACATGCCCGAGGAGACCCGAGGACAGGTGAGGTGAATGGGTGTCTACTTCAGCCGTGGTACCCAAGATGAAGGCAGGGAAGCCTTCAGGGGGCTGGACATTGCACAGCTGGCCCCTTCCTTACCTCGCTTTTCCCAGTGGGTGGGGGTAGTGACTGGGGAGGAGGGACTGGGCAGAGAGGGCATTATCAACCTTTTGGCTTCACATGCCACCTTTCTCCATAGCCAGCACGAGCTGTGGATTTAGTAGAAGAGGAATCAGGCGCCCCCGGGGAGGAGCAGCGGCGCTGGGAGGAGGCCCGGCTGGGAGCAGCATCTCTGAAGTTTGGAGCCCGAGATGCTGCCTCCCAGGAGCCCAAGTATCAGCTGGTGCTGGAGGAGGAGGAGACCATTGAGTTTGTCCGGGCCACTCAGCTCCAGGGTGATGAGGTGAGAGAAGGGGAACACTGGGGGTGTTCTGAGAAGGGTCTAAAGCTGACCCTAGAGCACTCACTCTCTTTCTGCTTCCTTAGGAACCGTTAGCTCCACCCCCTCAAGCCCAGGCCCAGCAGAAGGAGTCCATCCAGGCCGTCCGCCAAAGCCTCCCAGTGTTTCCATTCCGTGAGGAGCTCCTGGCTGCTATTGCCAGTCATCAAGTCCTCATCATTGAAGGCGAGACAGGCTCGGGGAAGACCACCCAAATCCCCCAGTATCTCTTTGAGGAGGTATGGTCATCCACTGTCCCAGGTTGCTGGGACCAGGCATTGACAAGCACAGTCCTGTCATAGCTCCTCATGCATAATATTTTGAGTAATCATTTCACTGTCTTTTCCACCAAATCATGAGGTTCTTGAGAATAAGCACCATACCTTTTTCATATTTGTAGTCTCAACTCCTACCACAGTGTCCATATCTGGTAGGCGTCCAGTCCATGCTAGCTGAAAGGAAAGTGTGTGTGTGAGAGAGAGAGACAGAGAGAATGAGGGCCTCTGCTGTACTCTACTCCAGACCCAGCTCTGCCTCCATTCTTCTGCAGGGGCCAAAGAAAGAGGAGTGAAAGGACTCATTTTCCTGCTTTTTTACCTTCTTTTGTTCCCTGTCACTTCTGGTCTCCCCCAGTTGATTTGTTCTTTTCCAGCTCAAATCTAGCTGAACCCTGAAGTTAATTATCCAAAGGGCTAGGTCTTTGGGGCTGGGCAAGGACCCCCTTTGAGGGTCCTGGGTCTGTCCTCCTCTTCATCTGCCATTCTTCTTGTCTGGTTTTCAGCTTCTGTCTGTTCCCTCCTTTTCTCCTGCTCTATCCTGCTTTTGCAACTTTTTCCTCCAAATAAATACTGAAGAGAGAGTATTTGTTTAGCTAAAGGAAAGCCTTTTCTTCCTCCTTTGTCATTCAGGGTTACACAAAGAAGGGTATGAAGATTGCCTGCACCCAGCCCCGGAGGGTGGCAGCCATGAGTGTGGCAGCCCGAGTGGCCCGGGAGATGGGCGTGAAGCTTGGGAATGAGGTGAGACCTGTGGGAGACGGGTTGGGGGAGCTCCTGGTGGCTGGGACTTGTTCCACACTGCCCTCAGGGCCCATCATCCCCTAGCCTCGCATTCTCTGCTGGGAACACCAGCCCACTCTCAGTCGCTATTGGTCCCTTGACCAGGTTGGCTACAGCATCCGCTTTGAGGACTGCACGTCAGAGCGAACTGTTCTCCGCTACATGACAGATGGGATGCTTCTCCGGGAGTTCCTCTCTGAGCCTGACCTCGCGAGTTACAGGTGCGCACAGGGGCCCCAGCTCCCATGGAGAGCCACCCACCTTCTCCTCTCCCAGTCTGCCAACCCTCCAGTGCTTTCCTGTGTCTCCTCTTCCTCTAATTTGTGGCCTTTCTCTCTCATTTCTTCTCACCCAGCCAACTTGCCCATTGTCCTCTGATTAATCCATCAGTTCTGGAGTTTTTATGGTTCACATAGTCCTGGAACTGAGGTCTAGGTACCGTGGAGATGGGGCAAGAGGGTAGAAGAGACTGCAGAGAGAGCCTTTCTCTTACTTCCGCTTCCTCTGGCAAGAGCAGCTGCTGACTCTCAGCAGATCCCAAAGGATGTCTGACTTGTTCTGGCCTCGGCTTCCAGCCTCCAGATCTTGGCTACTTTTGTCTGCCAGGGCTGGAGTATGTTGCAGACCATCGGTCCTAGCATTCTCTAACTATGCGTTAGTCCTACATAACTGAAATCGTCAGCTTCTCCTTAGAGCCCCCACGTTCATTTTTGGGAGAAGTGAGGGATGGGAGTAGAGAGCCAGTCACCTGGGTTCCATCCCTATCCTCTCATCTAGGGACTTTAGTACCCACACCTACATTGCCCCATGCTCTTCCCTCATTGCTCTCTACATTCCTTCCCCAGCGTGGTGATGGTGGATGAGGCTCATGAACGAACGCTGCACACAGATATTCTCTTTGGATTGATCAAGGATGTGGCTCGCTTCCGCCCAGAGCTCAAGGTCCTGGTGGCTTCAGCTACACTGGACACAGCCCGTTTTTCTACCTTCTTTGATGATGCCCCCATCTTCCGAATCCCTGGACGCAGGTTTCCAGTTGACATCTTTTATACCAAGGTACCCCCTCAGGGAGGATGGGCTTCAGTCTGAGACAGAGAAGCTGGGGCCTTTGGAGGAGGTCCCAAGGAGGAAAAAGATGGAATGGAGAGTCAGAAGGGGGGCTGGGGTAGAAGGTATGTTGAGCTGAGAGGAGAGGGAAAGGTTTGGCTAAGAAGGTAGCCTTCTTGTGACTCCGTCTGTCTGTGACCCCATCTCTCCCTCCTCCCCAGGCTCCAGAGGCTGACTACCTGGAAGCCTGTGTAGTGTCTGTGCTGCAGATCCACGTGACCCAGCCGCCTGGGGATATCCTAGTGTTCTTGACAGGACAGGTGCGTGATGGGGGGAGTGATCCCCGGGGAAGACAGGGCCGGCATGTTGGCCTTCTGTGACTCTGGGACCCTGTGCTGTCCCCACCCCAAACCCAGGAGGAGATTGAGGCTGCCTGCGAGATGCTCCAGGATCGCTGCCGCCGCCTGGGCTCCAAAATCCGAGAGCTTCTGGTGCTGCCCATTTATGCCAACCTGCCCTCTGACATGCAGGCTCGGATCTTCCAGCCTACGCCCCCTGGGGCACGAAAGGTCAGTTGGAGAAACCCGCTCTCCACCCCTGCAATTCACAGAAATGGTAGCAAAAAAAAAGGTAGGCACCTGTTCCATGCAAGGTATGCCTGGGCACTGCTGCAGTTACAAGGCTGAGTAGGAGTCAGTCCCTGGCCTCAGGAGCTGGATAGAGAGGGTGAGTATGGCAAGAACCAAGAGACTGCCAAATGGATGAGCCAGAAGTAAGCACTGGAAAGATTCAGAGAATAAAGCAAGCTCTTGGCCTTCTAGAAGGTGGGATTTGATCTGGTCCTTTAAGAAAAATGGCCGGGAGAAAAGAGGAAGGCCCAAGGTGCGCTTGAGGTCAGAGAGATCTAGTGGGCTTAATGGAAGGTTCATGTGATGAAGTAGTAGGAGAGAAGGCCAAAAACAACTTTGGACGGAGATTAGGGAGGGCCTTTGATGGCAGGTGAAAGAGTTTGGACTTCAGACCATGGAATGACTACCAGACTATTTGAGCAGAGATGTAACTTTCATTCACAAATATTTAATGAGTTCCTCCTGTGTGCCAGGTTCTGTTCTAGGGGATAAGGAAACGGTAATGAACAAAACGAAGTCCCTAGCCTCACAGAACTTAATCTAATGGGAGGAGACAATGGACATGTAAATATATAATGTCAATTGTGATAAGTGCTCTAAAGAGATATAAAGCAACATAGGAAGATGGGGACTGACTATGGGGGGTGAGTGAGGGATAGTAGCAAGGTGTTTTTGTTGGGCTATAGGGAAGGCCTTTCCAGTAAGGTGAAAGTAGGGCAGAGACCTGCATCACGTGAGGGAGGGAGCCAGGCTGTATCTGGGAGAAGAGCACTCCCAGTAGAGGGAACAGCTTGTGCAAAGGCCCCGAGTCAGAGAGCAGCCAGTGTGCAGGGGTAGAGCAAAGTTAGGGGTGGAGTGCTAGCATATGAGGTCAGAGACGTCAGAGGGACTAGAGGATATAGGGTTTTAAGGAGTTTGGATTTAATTCTAAAGTAGAATGGGAAGCCATTGAAGGATGAGGGAGTGATGTGACAGGTGTACTTTTTAAAAGGATTGCTCTGGATGCCAAGTGAAGATAGTCTGGGAGTAGAAGCAGGGAGACATGTTAGGAGGCTGTCACAGGAAGTGATGTGTGAAGATTAAAATGAAAGTGGTGTGTAGAGAAGATGGGGGCAGGAACCTAGATACTCCCATGTCTCATCTCTGAAATAAACCCTAAATCCTCTTTTTTACTTCCTTTCTACATTATGCAAACCCTGGTGGTGTAGTGATTAAGAGCTGCAGCTGCTAACCAAAAGGTCAGCAGTTCAAATCTACCAGGCGCTCCTTGGAAACCCTATGGGGCAGCTCTACTCTGTCCTATAGGGTTGCTATGAGTCAGAATTAATTTGAGAGCAATGGGTTTTTCCACATCATGCCCCTGCTGACCCCACTTCTACCTTTCCGTTGGCCTTGTCCTCTCCTGACTTTGGACACTAACCCCCTCTGCTCCTTCCCCTCATCTGCAACTGCTTCTCTACTCCTAAATTTCCAGGATGATTATTTCTAGGTAATGAGTTGGGCAGGGTCTTGGGGTGACTCCATATCCTCTCTCCCAGGTGGTTGTGGCAACAAACATCGCTGAGACATCCCTCACCATTGAGGGCATCATTTACGTGCTAGATCCAGGATTCTGTAAGCAAAAGAGCTACAACCCCCGCACAGGCATGGAGTCACTCACTGTCACACCCTGCAGCAAGGCTTCAGCCAATCAGCGAGCTGGCCGTGCGGGTCGTGTGGCTGCAGGCAAGTGCTTCCGCCTGTATACCGCCTGGGCCTATCAGCATGAACTCGAGGAAACGACGGTGCCCGAGATCCAGAGGACCAGCCTGGGCAATGTTGTGTTGCTGCTCAAGAGCTTAGGTGAGTGGGTGCCCCAGTCCTCCTGAGAGAAGAGGGAGGTGGGGCTGGAGTCACTGGGTTCTTGTAAAGGGACTCTGATCCCCCCATCTTTCTTTAGGGATCCATGACCTAATGCACTTTGATTTCCTGGACCCTCCGCCGTATGAGACCCTGCTGCTGGCTTTGGAGCAGCTGTACGCTCTGGGAGCCCTCAACCACCTCGGGGAGCTCACCATGGTGAGAAGGGAGGGCAGCGTGGGGTAGGGGACAGGATGAAGAGGTCAAGGATGGCTCTGGTGACTCCTATAATAGTGGAGGGAAACCTGAGGGAGGACTGGCCTCAACTGTCTCTCTCTTTCCTTTTCTTAGTCTGGTCGGAAGATGGCAGAGCTGCCGGTGGACCCCATGCTGTCTAAAATGATCTTGGCTTCTGAGAAGTAAGCTCCCTCCCTGTCCCTGTCCCTTAACCCACAAACTGGCCAGGCCTTCTCCTGTCTCTGGGCCTTCTGTCTCTGATAATAATCACTTATTAGAGAACTCTTACTGCCCCTTTTGAAGCCCACAAGTCAGTAAGACCCTGCCCTGTCCTTGATCATGATATCAAATGGGGAAGATTGACAGATGCAGAAAATTCAGAGGCATAAAGAAAGTGGAAGATTTTCCATCTGTGAGGGATGCTGAGTGAGGGCTGGTTTGGAAATTAACTAAGGTTACTAAGGTTTCAGATCAGAACGGTTAGTTGTAGCTGTGGAACCCACCTTTAAATGCCATTCCCTGCCATGGTTGAGGTCAGAGATCATTACATGAACTAACGGAAGTGCTGTCTTTCCTTGATGCACGTAGTACACATCTTCCTACTGCAGAAGCTCTCAGAAGTCCCCAGTGCCTTCCTAACATCCCTTCCCCCCACCCCCGTGGATGTCACTCTTGCTGTTTGATCAATGGCCCCCACCTCCTTGACCCTCAGCTGCCACTGCCACCACCACCAAAATCTATCTGCTGTCTGACTTGTAGCCACTACCCCAACCCACCTGCGAGGGAACATTCATCACACAATGATCATTCTTTTCTTCACCATGTTTGTTCTTGTGTATTTTTCTTTGAACACTCATGCTGTACCCTTCCTGCCGCAGGTACAGCTGCTCAGAGGAGATCCTGACAGTTGCTGCCATGCTGTCTGTCAACAACTCCATCTTCTACCGGCCCAAGGACAAGGTCGTCCATGCTGACAATGCCCGTGTCAACTTCTTCCTCCCTGGTGGGGACCACCTGGTTCTACTCAACGTTTATACACAGGTCACTAGGCATGGGTGAGTGGGAATGAAAAAGACATGGGGGACTCTAGTCCTGCTATATATGTAACCTTCCTGTTTTAACCTTCTTCACAGTGGGCTGAGAGTGGCTACTCTTCCCAGTGGTGCTATGAGAACTTCGTACAGTTCAGATCGATGCGCCGAGCCCGGGATGTGCGGGAACAGCTAGAGGGGCTCTTGGAGCGTGTGGAAGTTGGTCTCAGTTCTTGCCAGGGGGACTATATCCGAGTACGCAAGGTCAGCATTTCTTCAGTCTATTGCTCTCCACTTAAATGTCTCCCAAGGAGCAAGCTTCTTGGGGATTGGGGCACATGCTTCAGTTCCTCCAGCCTAAGAATGTGCCCTCTTCTGCTGATGGAAAAAGTGTTCTCCCTAGGCTTTCTCCCCGAGACCACTGAAGGTTGGTTCTGAATGGGTTCTTCATGTATTCTGTAGCTTTCTAGTTCCCCAGAAGCATAAACTGAGAAGGGGGTGAGTGCTGAGGCTTCGCTGATGACTGGCTTTCCCATTGACTTTCTTTCCTGCCTGCTCCTTAGGCCATCACTGCTGGTTACTTCTACCACACTGCACGGTTGACTCGTAGCGGTTATCGCACAGTGAAACAGCAGCAGACGGTGTTCATTCATCCTAACTCCTCCCTCTTTGAGGAACAGCCACGTTGGCTGCTCTACCATGAACTTGTCTTGACCACCAAGGAGTTCATGAGACAGGTACCATCCCCTGTCCAGGGAAGCAGAGGCTGTGTGGGGACATGGTATCCTGGCAAGCTAAGATCGCAGTTTCAAGTTGCTGGGACTGGCAGAGAAACAGGAAAACACACATTGGCTTAAATAGTGTAAAATAGACATCTTTTCTAATAACTGTCTTAACATTTTTTAAGATCTGATGAGAACTATGTATTGGTTCAATACTATTTCAGTGTTTTAGGTGTTGGAGCTACAGTGGTGAACAAGGAAATGAAGCCTCTGTCCTCATAGGGCAGACTTTACCGTCTTTAGGTTCCAGACTTTTCTTAGGGGTAATTTACTTGGCACTTTGAGTAACACTTTGAACCTAAAGACTGTAAAGTAGAGGTGTCTTTGCCCTTTGATTATGGTAATAGAGCCAGGCATCTTTTCCCCTAGCCCTGCAGTCAAAGAGGAAAGAACTCTTCAATTGTAATACACGTGAAAATCTAGTTTGGAAAGAAGGGAACACTACTAATTTTTCTCTCCCCTTCTAGGTACTGGAGATTGAAAGCAGTTGGCTTCTGGAGGTGGCTCCCCACTACTATAAGGCCAAGGAGCTAGAAGATCCCCATGCTAAGAAAATGCCCAAGAAAATAGGCAAGACACGAGAAGAGCTAGGGTAAAGAGAAGGGGACAGAAGCAGAACCTGACTCCAGCTCCTTTTCCTCCTGTACATTATTTAATATCTATTGAATAAAATTATTTTTGGAATAGAGCTAGTGGGAACTTTTAGGATTCAAAGAATGTGGCATATGGAAAGCCTATCATATATTCACTTTAGCTTTATTATTTACAAGTTAAATTACACAGCAGCTTTACACAGCATGAGATGGAAAGGAAGGAAGGAGACAGAAGAGGGGAGGAAGCTGGCTCCTGAGATTCTTGGCTGCCTCCACCCGCTTCTCTTGTGCGTAATAAAGTCTTCAGTGCTGCCTCCACACCAGTTCCCCATCAGGCCTTGGCATGCAGGTGTAAGTTGGGTTCTGGTTCTGATAGCCCCAGGGCCACCAGGGCTCCCACTAGCAGCTTCTTCACAGGTGTTGGAGGTGAGTGTGAAGGCATCAGCTGCAGGGAGAAAAGAAAGGTTAATGCCGGTTGAAGGGCAGCTCACAGATGCTCTACCCCTCCACCCTACCCACCCTTGGACTCACTTTATCCAGGCGATGGCGACAAATGAGGCCGTTGGAATTCAGGTAGAAAGTAGAATAGGCATCATAGGTCCTGGGGAGGGGGGAAATGAAGAGACTTACAGAGGGAGGTGGCTGGTCCCAAATTTTAATTCAAACGTTTATTTAAACTAGTACTTCTTAAACTCTGCCATACTTTAGACCATCTTGAGAATTTAAAAAAATCCTGATACCCTGGTTGCAAGTGTCTAGCATCATTATTTTTAAAAGATTTCTAGGTGATTCCACTGGGAACCACTGGTTTAAACACACAGTGTTAGAAGCTGAGCCTAACAATTTTTGGGATTCTACTCTGCCAAAAATTTACCAGGTACTTTACCTAAGAGGAATTTTCATTTGTTCAGTAAATATTTGAGTACCCATCATGTGCCAGGTAATGTACCTTAAAAAACTGATGTTCAGAGGTTTCCTAATATTCTCAGAAGTCCCTATTTGTTACATTAGAGTAACAGAAGATCCCTGCCCTCAAGGAGCTCACAGTCCAGCCAGGGTAGATCAGGGTTTGTCTGGGAGATGAGACTGTCATGTTCCTAAAAGCGAGAATAGGAAATTGTAGTTTGGGTCCTTTCTCACTTCTTTCTTACCGATAAAGCTCATCCTTGTCACGCTTGTAGAAACGCAGAAATAGCATGTGGATGGGCAGCCCCACAAGCCGCCAACGGGCTTGCAGGGTCCAATTCTCAGGGTGGCGGGTCAGCTGTAGAACCTCCAACCGAAGTTGTGCAAAATAGTTCCAGGCCAGGAAACGGCAGAGGGTCAGTGACAGAATGTACCATGTCCGGCCCCTGTGAGAAGGGGATGGGAAAGAAACTTTGGGATGGTAAAGTAAGAAAACCATCTGGTCTCTGCCCAAGGAATGGGGTACAGCTGTAAAAGCAGCTTAGGACCTTTGGGAAGTGAAAAGGGTCAAGTATATAGCATTCAGCCCTTTCCTCCCCAAGGCTCTACCAGTGCCGCAACTCTCACTTGGTACGGATGTTCAGGATCTCATTGATGAATTCCACATCTGATGAGTAGAGAGTGTAGTCATGGGAGTGAAGGAAGAGGTTGGGAAGCTAGGTGAAAGAAGAAGGTGTCAGCCCAGGGAGAAAGATAAAAGATGATCCTATTTCTCAGTTTTCTATTTTTTAAATATATATGTTTATTGTACTTTAGATGAAGGTTTATAGAACAAATAGTTTCTCGTTAAACAGTCAGTACACATATTGTTTTATGACATTGGTTAACCCCATGACATGTCAACACTCTCCCTTCTCGACCTTGGAGGACCCTTTTTTTTTTGGTGAAAATATACATAGCCAAAGTTACACCATTTCAGAAGTTTCTACATGTACAATTCAGTGACATCGATTATATTCTTCCAGCTGTGCTGCTATTCTCACTGTCCTTTTCCAAATTATTCCATCACCATTATCTTCATCTCACTGCCCCAGAGGCTTCCCATCAAACCTTTTGAGTTGCTGTTGTCAATTTGATCTCAAATAGATAATTTTTTTTTTTTGGTACCTTAGATGAAGGTTTGCAGAACAAATAGTTTCTCATTAAACAGTACACATATTGTCAGTTTTCTTTTTTTAATGACTCGTGTCACTTCCTTCTGAGTGAAAGGTCATCTTGTCCCATGTTTAACCTCCCCTAACCCGAACTGAGGAGCATCTTTTCCTCAGGAGGATGTTTATAATGCAGCTGTATGCCTGCTTCATGGTTCCATGAAAGAATCCAGTTACCTAACCCCATATTTCCAATATTACCTATATCCTTCCCACTGTGGACAAAGGCCACTTTCAAAGTGACTTACCTCTTGTCTTAGTTTCTCATACATGACAGCCAGGTGCTCCTCCATACTGGGATCCCCTGATGGAGTGGCAGGGGAAGAGTGGGTGGTCCCAGGGGCTTGGAAGGGTATCAAAGCCCCAGGATAGGGGCAGGGAGGTCCCTCAAAGAGGCTTCTAAGCCCATCCAGGCAGCCCCTGTGCAGTTCAGGTCCCAGTCCTTCCTCCCCATTTCCTGGAGGTAGAACCACCCATGGTGAGCTGAGGGCCTGGACCTGAGGGAGAGGTAGTGAGGGGGCCTGGAGAAGTGGCCAAGTAGAGGGGCATGGGTGTGGGGGAGACCACAGAAGGGGAAAAGATGGAGAAGTGGTTGTCGTGGAGTGAGGCCAAAGTGGTGGGAATGGTAGCGCCCGTGGAGAAAGCTGGTTCTAAGGAGGAAGAACAAAAGGGGAAAAGAATTCAGCTGTCTAATGCCTCTTCATTCAAGTTCTGCTCGCTCATCAATGGTTTCCTGCTCCCACCTGCTTCTCCTGTCAGGAGAGATGGAATTACATACTAGAGGAATGGATTCATCTCCATCTCTACTGAAAACAGGAGGAAACAGTTTCCATGGTACAAAGGAACAATAACCTTCCCCAAACATTAACAAACACTTTTACATTTGTTTAAGATTCCAGCACTGTTCTGGGGGCAGTTTCACTTTTCATAGCAAGAATCCTATTATAAGGATACAGGTTTGATGAATAAGTCAAAGAATAACAGGCTTTATTGTACTGTGAATGAAATTATGTGGCCTATAGCACAACTCCACGATTAAGTGTGTTAGGCAAATATTGTACAGAGAAAGCATCCAACCGGAGCTAGGACTACTTTCTTTGGGTTGCAAATCTACCGTGCAGCCCTAGGTACTCCCACTCCCTAAGCCTCAGTGTCCTATAAATGTTCTCCTATAAATTAGGAAGATAAAGCCTCCCTGGTTTATTATGAGGAATATACGGGATAATGAATGCAAATAAAACTTTGCAACATGCAATGTAGTATACACGTGTAAGCTACTCTCAGTTCAGCCTCTCTGAAGGGCACAATCTCAGGAGACAAAGGCTGGGCTTCATTCTTCCCGGTCACTGACACTAAAACTGCGACGAGGGGAGGTCACTCAAAATCAGGCCTAACCCGAGCCCGCCGCTCCGCAGAAAGCCCCGGGGTCTCACTCCCGGGAAGGCGGGAGGACAAGCGGGTACCTCTGTCCACGACTGTGTCCCCGAGACGCCGGTTCAGCCGGGGGCGTGGCCATCTTGCCCGCCCGGGCGCCAGGACCCGAACCGGGTCACCTGGGCCTGCCTTGCTGCCAGAATCGCTATCCAGGTGGAGGACGGCGCGGGCTGCAGAGTGCGGTCAGCTGCTAGGGTGGGGCTCGGGGACTCCGGGACGGCGCCGCAACCGCGAACCTCTCCGCCCCCTGCCTGCCCTTCAAATCACCTCCAGCCTCAGGTAACCGCAGAGATTCGGGCGCAGAAGTTACGCGCCCCGTTGCCCCAGCCTCGACCCCGCGTGCCCTCTCTCAGATCCGCGAGAATAGGCGTCCCACGAGCGCCAGATCCCCCGACCCTCGCCCCTCCACGTGCCGCGGGGCACAGGTGGCAAGGAGCAGTGGGGTGCTGCTGCGCCTGCGCAGAGGCGGGCGCGCTCCGCCCCACGCGCCGGCTCTGAGGAGGGTCTCTCCCCGCCTGCTTCCTCTCCGCTCTCACCTGGGGTCGAGTTTGATAGGCGCGGAGGCAGGGGCTGAGACGCCGGGTTGTCCCCCGGCAGGACTGGTACATGATGTTCCGAGAGCGGAGAAAGCGCCTCCCGAGTCGGCCTCCGGCCTCCTCACAGGGGTGAGCGCGCCCCGAAGCCGGCTTCGTGAAGGGGAAAAGGGGGGGAAAGGGCTGAGAGGAGGGAAACTGAGATGTCGCGCGCTTGCGCACTGCGGGTCCAAGAGGCGCTGAAGCGCTCGGCTTGCAGCTAGTGCGCCTGTGCTCGCCGGATTCGAGGCTGCCTTAGAGCGCCTGCGCAGTAAATTAGCGGCGCGGAGACCTGCACTGCCGCAAGTAACGTTTGCGGAAAAGCTGAGCGAAATGGGGCTGAACGACCCGGTGCAGAGTGAAGGGTGGGATTAAAATAATGACAAGCTTTAGAATAGCTCTCGTGATAAAAATAAATACTTTTATTACTGTGGTTAAAAAACGATACAAACGATTTGAAGCCTGTTGAATGAATGAATGAATGCATCCATTACGTGGGCTGGGCTTTGGCTGTCTCCTGTAGTGAGAAGTAATGCCTTTGGCGGTATGGGAGGGAGCTGCGGTCACCAAGGCCTGGTGCTGCGACGTTCCTGCAGGTTTCGAACGAACCTGGCGTTGAACACGTCCCTGCCTACTCTCCAAGACGGGGCAGGTGGGGTTTGGACCTGTAGGGGAACTGTGGGCATGGGTTCCTCTGCAGACTCGTCGTGTGACAGGACCTGCTCTTCACTGGCAGACCTGGGAGGTGGGAAGGAGGTGGAGAGGGGGTTATAGGGGTACTAAACAGGTAATTAAGATTACAGACTCCTCTCTCTGGCTTTTAGGTGCCACGTTTTGATCTAGAGGAGGACACGTGATGGGACATGAGGCTGGAACTACTAGTGCTGTGTCCAAATTTGAAGCCCTCCAGGAAATGCCACAGGGAAGCACGAGAGTTGATCTTATGGGGAAAGAGGCTTGTAGAATGTTAAGTAGACGAATTTGAGGGAGAAGCTGGTGTCCAATTGAAAGTAAAATTAAGGAGGAAGTGGCTGAGAATGGTGGTAGAAAAGACGGTGGTGGGAGGCACATGTTGTTACAACTGGTAGGGGAGGGATTCAGACCTCACCTATTCTCTGTTTCCTGTTCCCCCTGCTTCAATTCTTGCTTGCCTGTGGAAATACCAGGCATGTGCATGGGAAGGCTGGAGTAGGTAGTCAATGTGGCCTACTTGATTTTGCGGGTAAGGAGGGGTGAATACTTACCTGTGTCAGGGGATGAGGAATTCAACCCCCCGTGGCGGCTGTAGCAGCAGCTTTGGGCTACCAGCCCTGGGGGAGTCCCCCTGCAGAAGAAATGGGAGATGATGGGGAGAGGCTACAGGGCAAAAGATGGGTGGGTGTGGAGAATTCAGAGGAGAGGAATAAAAGGAAGAGCACAGGAACAAAGAGAAGGGGGTAATTATCATTCCTATGGGGTTCTAATCTAAGCTGTACCCCAGAAATGAGGAGGAAGCTCATTTCACACCCCAAGATTTTCTGGAGCAGTCCTGATTTGTTTTATTCTTTTTAGTTGAAGAATGTGCTAAATGTATGGCTAATTGTGATCCAAATCCTGTCATAAAAACAGACTCACATATAGGCAAAAAAGAATTTGTTGGACCAGGTGCCCTGATGTTTGGTTTGGAAAACATGGTTACCTTAAATATAGGATACCTCAGACCAGAGGAAAATAGGGAGTGACGAGGCTGAATTTAGGAGGAAAAGGGAGGGAGCCTTCAGCATGGTGACAGACTATGTTAGATGCTTGATGGAGGTAAGGGATTCTCTAGAGAGAGATACAAGGGCTTAGAAGGGGAGTGAGCAGGAAATCACAGAGTGGGAAGAGAAATCCAGGGAACAATCAGGAGGTAGTTTGTGGATCCCAGAGATGTTGGGAAATTGTGACATCTCAGCAAGGACTGGCCCAGGGTAAAGCGCAGAAGTCACTTGGGAGTGCTGGAGATTCCTGGAGGGAACGGGAATAGATATGGAAGCATACACTGTGGGATCCAGTAGTTACATGAGAGGAGACATGCCGAATCCGCAGAAGATCCAGCAATGAAGATAGGAATGGGCAGATACCAGATCCTGGAAGGGGAGCTCAGGCTCCTCGGTAGAATATCTACAGATCTCAGAGGTGTAGAGATGAGAGGGGCAGAGGCCCCGAGATCCCAGGGAAACAAGGGGCGACGCACAAAAGAGGCTGAGACCATGAGTTGGCTTTTTTTGGCATGGTTCTTTTTTTCACTGAAAATTTCAGTTTAAAAAACACAAAAGAATTCACACTTTATTCAGACAACACTGAGCAGGAGAAGAAAAGGGAGGAGTGAGTGGTGAGTGAGGGAGATCCTGCTCCCAAGGATTTTGGGGGGTGGTGGTACAGTGAGAGTACTTCATCTACCACACATTCAGAGGGGAGGAAGGGGAAAGGATGTATCTACACCCTGGGAGTGAAGCAGGGAAGGAGGTTCTTGCTATGGAGAAAAGAAAGGAGGCCAGAGGAAGAATGGCCCCTCATCATCTCAAAACAATCTCACATGACAGGAATACATCAGCATCTAGCTACTGGTGAAGGATGGATGCGACAGGGGATTCCAGATCTAACAGATCCTTAAGACCAGGCTTACCTTCTGAAACATAGCCAAGAGTGATCCCAGGGTGCTTGCTGGGATCTACTGCCAAGGAATAAACTCCCTCAGAGAATGGATCTTGGGGAAGCTGTGTCTGCAGCGAGTCTCCTGTAGAGACCCTACACAGACATCAGCTTTGAGGTTCCCTGACACATACACAAAACATGTGGAAATGAAGAGTTTGGCAATGTTGAGTAGATCCCTTTGGGAAGCTGGTAATTTCTGAAGGTCCCTGTCCTGCCTAACTTCCACTGCTCTGAAACAGAGCTCATTGGCTGGCATAAGCAAGCTGAAAGGGCAAGTGTGGCAGGCAACACAAAGCAGTATTAGAACCTCCAGTAGACACTGGAGAGAGAATATGGGATTTATTCCATGGACAAGACTCCTTAAAAGATTCCCCTGGCAGAGGAGGCCCTTGGACCTTCCATGGTGTTCTAATCTGACAGCAAGCAAGAGTGTGCTTCTCTGGGTAATTATGAGCCACCCAACTAAGGGGTCTGGCAGCAGATTGGACTGTCTGTGGGGAGTGTCCAGAGCCCAAGTTAGGAGGGAAGGAGTGCTTTCTGTGGTAAGAAAAGCTGCAAAGTATTAGGCCATTTGGGACCCTGACAACCCAGTCATCCAAGAAAAGGGAAGAGGAAATCCTATGAGCTCTGTAAGGTCTCTGAGTCCTAGGGGATGCAATGGAAGAGTAGGCCTGGGGTTCTCAGGGGAGGGGGGTCTCTGTCCACCCCAGGTCTCCCAGAGAAGGGGGTGTAGCTGTCTGTCAGTATCGACTCTCATCAGAGCGGGGAAGGGAGCTGTGGAAGGATGTTATGGACAGGATGGAGGGAGAGGGAACATGGGGGAGAGAGAAAAACAGAGCAGTCAGAGGTGAAAAGAAAGCTGGGGAGAGAAATAAAGGAGATGCCCACTCCCTGCCTACTGGGACGGGCTCTTGGCACACTGGTGTTGACATGAAGCCACTGGCTTCCCAATCTGTCAGACACTGCCCCTCCCCCACAAAGTGTTAAACCAAGACTTCTCCAATCTTAAAAGGCACAGTTCCCCCCACCCAGTGGATCTCAGTGTTCTTCCTACCCTATCCCTCTCACTTCAAAACTAGAGTCCTTGGGCTCCATATAAAGTTCTATTCTGCTCCTTCACTGTAATCTATTTCCAGGTGACCTCTACAGATATTTTTCTTGAAAGGTTTCAGGACTCCCCAATCCATTTACCCTATTGCTTCAAGTCTCTGACAGATTCAAATGCTCTTTGCCATTTCTCACACCCTCTTTAACAGTCTGGAGACTTCCTTAACCCTCCTATTACCTGGTGCGGCGACGTTGGGCTGGGCTGCCCCCAGGGTCGGTAGTAAGCAGAAGGCGGGCGGTAGGGTGTGGGGGACAGAGACGCAGGGACCGCAGCAGCTCCTGCTCTGGCACAAAAGGGCGGAGGGGACCCCGTTCTGGCGAGTTTCCCAGGCTGCTGGAGCGGGGGGGTGGGTGGGCTGGAGGTGTGGTGCGGCGCGGGGCCCTGTTCAGGGGCCACGGAGGCTCCACAGCTACCTTCAGAACTGGGGGAAAGGGAGAATAAAGAGCAAGACAGAAAGAAGAAGGAAAGGGAAGATAGAGATAGCGTCATGACAGCAAAGATGAGGGTAGGGAAAAAGACAAATCAGAGCCTTGAGAGAGAACTAATCCTTCCCAGGGTCCCCCAAGCATTCTCTTGTGTTCAGGCCCTTCACACCCTCCCCCCAGCACCTCTTACATTCTCGGTCACTCGAGGAGTATGGCTTAATGTCCCCCTCTGCCCTCTTGGGTGGCAGCTTCCTTGCCGGAGCTGGTGGTGGGGGAGATGGGGAGCGGGGAACGCAGGGAAGGTCAGCATTAGAAGACATACTATGTACCCCTCCTCCCTGCCATGACCCCCCCACAACCCCAAACCTCTGCTCCTTGACACTCAGTTCCTCCTGGGGAAGGAGAGCAGTTCAGCTCCATTGCAGAATCAGTTCTGTGGTGATGCCAGCACACCAAAAGGGATTTTAGGGGAGATGCTGGAGCACTTTTGAGGAGAGCCAGAGGGAGTAGGCCAAACACAGAGTTGAGGGAGAAAGATCAAAGGGGAGACTGGAGGCCTGGGAGATGCAGGAGAAGGGCAGCCAAGGGGAGGTGAGCTCTTACTGTCAGTGGGTGCTGCCAGGCCCCCCTGGGATTCTGAGGCTGTGGAATGGTCCCAGCCGGGCCAGCGAGGACCCTGGGTCTCTCTAGATGAGATGGACAAAGCCCTTGGTTAATCACGAATTGCTTTGGAGAGGTCAGGGGAGAGTGGGTGGGGGGCAGAACCTCTCCTTCCTGTGCAAAGATGGGAAGAGATTTAAGTTTTATTTTAAAAAAAATGAAAAAGAAAAAATACGGACATCTAAAGAGGAGTTATCAGAGTAAATGGGAGGATAACGTACTGTACAAAACTCAGCCTCCCCTCTCCTCACTTCTCCACTTGCTCCCACCCTTCCCTCTCAAGAGGCTCTCCATCGTCTGTGGCAAATAAGTGACTTCTCAGCTAATTCACTTAAGCTTTATCAACATTATCCTTCCCTGTGGACCTGAGTCCTGTGCTGACATCCTTACCATCCTTGTTAGCACTCACTCCCTCTCACAGCCTGTAGGTCAGCAAGAGCTAGAAGGCAGAAGCCTAGGAAACCAAAGCGAGTTGTGGACAGAAAGTGCCTCTCTCAGTATCTGACACTGGTAGATGCTAGTAACTGGTAACAGTAGTCTTTGGGTGGTGGTTTGTCCCTGTCCTAGCCATGGAGGAAGGTGAGAGCTAGCCACAAAGTCAGCTTGGGAATGGGGCACTTCTGTGCAAGCAAGCACTGCACAGCCAGCAGAGGGCTGTACCTTGTCCACCTCTGGGATGTAGTGAGGAGTGGGGCTCGGCTGGGCAGGGAGTGCATCTGTGTGTATGAGGATAAGAGGGGAACCTAGAAACCATTTGGGTATCTCTTATGTTTGATTTCTCTGGATGAACTTCATTATTTGACTGGAACTGTTATAAATCCTGAGAATTATCTTCTAAAATGAATACTTAAACTTTGGACCATTCATGTTAACGCCTGTTGCCTGTTCTATGGCTGGAAATGGAAAGGCTGTCTGCACTTGCCTGTCCTTCATAGGCTGAGAGAAACCTGAGGGGTTTACAAAGGAGTCTGCCTCTGGACTATTTTGATGGACCTGAAGAAGCAAGAGGCTCCACCGACATCAATTATCAAAAAGGCTCTCAATGAGCTTGCTTATTAAAAGTCTTGCCAAGTATAAAATGTACTGAGCTCCCATGAGGGCAAAGACAACCAGGTAATGACTGCTGGAGACCTGGGGTGCTTTAGAATTCTCCAGAATTGCCCACAGATAGCACTGTACTCCCCGCTGCCTCTAGAGTGACTAGCCATCGCTGCACTATGGCTCCACCCATTCACTGCAAGTTTACCAGTGGGCGTGGGATCAACCGCAGCAGCGCGAGCATGTCGAGTTGCCCTCAGAGAGGAAGAAGGGGGCCCTGTGAGGAAGCAAGCGGTGGTGCCCCTCAGTGAGGGGGCCAGTGAGACTAAGAGTCCACCTCTTTCCTTCCCCACCCCGCCTACATGACCAACAAAAGGTGAGACAACTTACGATGCTGATGGGCAAAGAAGCCTTCAAAGATCACAAAGTTGTTCACCTAGAAGATGAAACAAGCGAAATACAGTTGTTCATTCAGCCACTCAGCATATACGTGGGTACAAACCCTGTGCTAGAAAAAAACACAGTAGGAGGAACAAAAGGCAATCTTCCTGTCCGTGGTGGCAGACTATCAAGACCCAAACCTTACACAATATGACAGACATAATTAATGCCACTGAACTGTACGTATGAATACTGTTGAAATACCAAACTATTTTCTTATATATTTACCACAATAAAAATAAATAAACCCAGACCCTGACAAGCTGATCCTAAGTTCATATAAAACTGCAAGAAACCTCGAATAGCCAAAACAGTCTTGAAAAGGAAGTACAAAGTAGGAGGACTCACACTTCCCAATTTCCAAACTTACTACAAAACTATAGTAATCAAAACAGTGTGGTACTGGCATAACAATAGACATATAGATGAACAGAATTGAGAGTCCAGAAATAAACCCACACATCTATGGTCAACAGATTTTCAACAAAAGTGCCAAGGCCATTCAGTAGGGAAAGAATAGTCTTTTCAGTGAACGGTGCTCAGACAACTGGATATCCACACACAGAAGAATGAAGTTGGACCCCTACCTCACACCATGTACAAAAATTAATGCAAAATGGATCAAAGACCTAAATTTAAGAGCTAAAACTATAAAACTCTTAGAAGGAAAAAGGGGTAAATCTTCATGATCTTAAATAAGGCAACGCATAACCTGTTGCCACTGAGTCGATTCCAACTCATAGCGACCCTATAGGACAGAGTAGAACTACCCCATAGGGTTTCCAAGGAGCAGCTGGTGGATTTGAACTGCCGACCTTTTGATTTGCAGCCGTAGCTCTTAACCACTTTGTCACCAGGACTCCATAAATAAGGCAAATATTTCTTAAATATGACACTAAAAGTATAAACAAAAGAAAAAAATAGATAAATAAGACTTTGTCAAAAAATTTTTTGTGCTTCAAAGGACATTATCAAGAAAGTGAAAAGACAACCCACAGAACGGGAGAAAGTATTTGTAAATCATACATCTAATAAGGATGCAATATCTCAAATATATAAAAATCTCTTACAACTCAACAAGATAAGCAATAAAATTTTAAAATGGGCAAAGGACTTGAATACCTGGAAGACGGGCAAATAGCCAAAAAGCACATGAAAAGATGTTCAATATCATTAGTCATTAAGAAATAAAAGTCAAAACCACAATGATACCACTTCAAAACCAGTAGGATGGCTATTAGGAAAGAAAGAAAGACAATGGAAACTAACAAGTATTGGCAAGGATGTGGAGAACTTGGAATCCTCATGCATTGCTGGTGGGAATATAAAATGGTGCAGCTGCTGTGGAAAACAGTTTGGCAGTTCCTCAACAAGTTGAACCTAGAATTACCATATGATCCAGGAATTCTACTTCTAAGTATATACCGAAGAGAACTGAAAACATATGTTCAAATAAAAACTTGTACACAAATGTTCATAGCACCATCATTCATAATGGCCCAAAGTGGAAACAATCAAATGTACATCAACTGATAAATGGATAAACAAAGTGTGCTATATACATACAGTAGAATATTATTTAGCCATAAAAAGGAATGAAGTACTGGTAATGCTACAACATTACGAAAACGTTATACTAAGTGAAAGAAGTCAAACACAAAAAGCCACATATTGTATCATTCTATTTATATGAAACGTCCAGAATAGACAAATCAGTAGAGACAGAAAGTAGATTAGTGGTTGCCAGGGACTGCGGGGAGGGGAGAGAGTTGGGAGTGACAGCTTAATAAATATGAGGTATCTTTTGAGGTGATGAGAATATTCTGGAATTAGCGGTGATAGCTGTACAACATTGTGAATATATGAAAAACCAATGAATTGTATACTTTAAAATGGTTAAAATGGTGAATTTTGTGTTATTTGAATTTTTCCTCAAAACCAAAACAAACAGAAAAACTCAGACCCTGCTTTTATGTTGTCCCTGGACCCAGGGCACAGGGAGGATGAGGCATCCCAAATTGCCAAACAAAAGACTTCAAAATAAAACATGTTAATAAGGCCAAATAGTATAAAGTACACAAATACTGAGGAAAACTAAGAATTAAGCAGGGTTCAAATGAGTGGGACTAATCAAGGGAAGACATGATGGAAGACAAGGCGCCACTCTGAGAACTAACTGATAATTTGAGTGGTTTCATTATACTATCACATTTGATTTGGCCTTTACAACAATTCTTAGAGTCAGTATCTTAAAAGATGAGTAGAAGGCTTGGAGACATGGCTTGCCCAAAGCCAAGTAGACACAAGTGGCAAATCCGGGCTTTAATCCCCCCGATTTCTGATTGTGTGTGTAGTGTTTCAACCAAGAATACAGTGTAGTCATTAGAGCAGGCTATGGGTTCAAATCTGGACTCGACTACTTATTAGCTACGTGAACTTGGTCAAATCACTAATCTGTATAAGCCCAAAATGGGGTTAATAGTAGCACCTACCTTAAAGAGACATGTAAGGATCAACTGAGACAACGCATGTAGATACCACACAGAGCTCACGAAACAACACAGAGCTCAACAAACCACAGAGAGCTCTCGATTTAAATTAGTTGCTGTTATCTGTACTTTGTACTGCTCTGGTCTTACATGTTAACTGGGTAATCTGTTTGATGCCAAATATTGTGCTCCTTCCACTGCTCTCTGCTGCCTCTTAATGGAGTAATGTACAGTGGATGATACTGTAAGAAGACCTGCCTAGTTCCTGCCTTGACTCTGCTGTATGTCTACAAACTCGCCCTCATCCTCCCCAACAAGCACATGCTCAGCCACACCAAACTGCATGCAATGCCCTGGAAGCACTGGGTGGTTTAATAGCTCTCTGCCTTTGCTCATGCTGGCTCTTCTACATGAAATACACCTTACCCCGCTCACTTCTGTCCATCTGACAACCACTCATCTTTCAAGATTAAACATAAGTCAAACCTTTCTTTACCCAACCCCCACCCTGAGGTATAATTCACCACCGTGTCCTTATGCCTCCTCTGTAATGAAGTCTATCAAATCATGTTTCGATGGATTAATTGTTCAGGCACCTCTCTGAGGCTAACTTGTCAACCAAATCCCAACCCTTTCAGCCCACTCAATGACATTGTTTCAACAATTCTCCCCACTTTATCTGTCGAATTTTCTATTTTGAACCATTCTATGCTGTTAGTACTTCCATCTGAAAAGAATCAACCCTCTTTTGATCCATTTTATCCTCCAACTTTTACTCTATTCCTGTTTCCCTTAAAGCAACATTTAAAAGAGTTGCCTGTTCTTGCTCTCTGATTCCTATCTTAATCTCCTAAACCCACTCCATTTAGGCATCCACCCTACCACTGCACCAACCACTCATTGGGATCACCAGTTGCCTAAGGAAGCTATACCCGCAGTCATTTCTCAGTCCTCATCTTACCTCACTGATCAGAGACATTTGACCCCGTATACCATTCCTTTCCAATATGCCCTGGAAACACTTTCTTCACTTCCTTTCCAGATCACCTCACTTTTAAGTTTTCATCTGCCCCACTAGTCACTCCTTAGTCACAACTGCTAGTTCTTCCTCTCCTCCCTGATCTCTTAAAGAGTGCCCAAGGGCTCAAGTCCTTGGACCATTTCTCTATCTATACTCTCTCGTTGGTGATCTCATTCTATCTCATTGCTTTAAATACCATCCATAGACTGAAAACTCTCTACCCTAAACCCTTCCGTGAACTCCAGGGAAGTACCCAACTGTCTACTGAACCTGGATATATCACAGACATCTCCAACTTAATCTATTTTAAATGGACTCCTAGTATTTTCCCCCAAATCTGTTCTACCTACAATTTCAGTTAGTGTAACTCCACCCTTTCAATTGCTCAGGCCAAAATATTTAAAATTGATCACTTCTTACCATTTCCATTGTTAACACCTTGGTCTGAGCCACAACCATTTTTCATCAAGGTTATTGCCTCTTGCCTCCACCAAACTGAGTCCAGCACAACTAGACGGTGCCTGGGTACCACCACCGACTACTCTGACAGAGATCACAATAGAGGATCCCAAATAATACACATACCTCAACCACGTATATGAGACTAAATGGGCACACCGGCCCAGGGGCAAGGGCAAGAAGGCAGAAGGGGACAGGAAAGCTGGATGAATAGAAATGGGAAACCCAAGGTCGAGAAGAGGAGTGTGTTGACATGTCACAGGGTTGGCAACTAATGTCACAAACAATATGTGTATTAACTGTTTAATGAGAAACTAATTTGTTCTGTAAACCATCTAAAGCACAAAAAAAAAAAAAAAAGATTATTGCCTCTTAACTGGTCTACTTGCTCCTATCCTTGTTCCCCTACTCTCTGTTCTTCCCCTCTGGGAGCAAGAAGATGCCAAAGTGATCTTGTTAAAAATAGGTCACCATGTCATCCTTCTGGTCAAACCCCTGCAAAGGCTCTCTTTTTCACTTAGAGTAAAAGCCAAAGTCTTTGCAATAGCCTATAATGCCCCAAAGGTTCCTCCTCTCCCATTATCTCTCTAATCTTATCTCCTACCACACTCCCCCTCACTCACTCTGTTCTACCCACATTAGCGAATTCACTCTTTCAGGCACATTCCCACCTCAGGGCCTTTGCACCAGCCATTCCCTCTGCCTGGGATGCTCTCCCTATAGATAGTACCTGTCTCTTTACCTTACCTCTAAGTTATTGCTCAAATGACACTTTCTCAGTCTATCCTGAATATCCCATTTAAACTCCCAATGCTATATGCCCCCATCCCCACCTTGGCACTCCCAAGCCCTCTTAACTACTAACTTATCAGTTGTTGAGTCAATTTTGACTTGTGGTGACCTCATGTGTTTCAAAGTAGAACTGTGCTCCATACGGTTTTCAATTAGCTGTGATCTTTCAGAAACAGATCACCAGGCCTTCCTTCTCAGGCACCCCTGGATGGATTCAAGCTGCCAATCTTTCAGTTAGTGGCTGAGTGCTTAACTGTTTGCACCACCTAAGAACTCTCCAAGCCCTCTTACCTGCTCTCATTTTTTCACAGCACTTATCATCAACCATGGTATATATTTTACTTGTCTATTATGCTTGTCTGTCTCCCCCTACTAGAATATAAGCTCCGCAAAACCAAGAACTTTTGTTCGTTTTATTAAGTAAAGTATACCTAGCATTTAGAACAGTGCCAGGTGCTCAATAAATACTTGTGGGATGAATGAATGAATAGCATTAGTAATATTTCACTGTACTTACTTATAAACAAGATCACCTTCTCCTTATTAGACTGAAGCTCCCTGAGGGCAGGGAATGTATATTTTTCTGGGCCCTTAATAAATGTTGGTTGACTAAATGAGTAATGGCCTGTGTGAAAACAAGGAAGTGAAAATGAACTGGCTGTATTTGAGGCACAGGGGTGAAAAATTACTAGGCGTAGCAAACAGCCCATGATGAAGAATCAAAATAGATGTAAAATGGCTTCAAGATGAAAGGCGATACCACAACAGAAGAGCTTAGTTGTAGAAACTGAATCCTATACTATGGGCAACAGGGAGTTGTTCCTGGAAAGTGCCACTTCTTTACTCCCAAATAATAAACAGATTTAATGAGAATGTTTAGCGGGGTTCTGCCTTCTGAAACCTCTAACCTGTGGGACTGTGGTCTCCAGCTTGTAGTGCTTATTCAGGAATTTCAGCAGTTTCTGCGAGGGTCGATCAATGGCCAGCTGGTATGGTTCAACTCGCTCCTTCTGCAAGGAACAGAAGGCTCAGGATAAGAGGTGTGAGGAGTGGGAGCTATGGAAGGGAATAGGAGGACATGGGGACATGGGAGTTGAGGGGATGCAGGCTCTCTGGAAGGACTCAGGCCAAAGGGGCCTTGGATCTCCATTATGGACGGACCTTGGCAAAGGGGTAAGTGATACCTGCAACATATGTTGGAAGAGTTCTCGCCCATGGCCATGACGTTGAAATGACTCATGGATATAAAAGTCCAAGATACAAAGTGGTTCTACCTCATTGTGAGCCTCACGATCATCCTAACAGGTAAAGAACGATAAATATCTTTTAGGACTCAGGCATCTTTGCCGTCTCCCAAGTCCTAGTATTTTTGTTCTCAGGAACCAAAGCATGCGAAGGACAAAGCATACCAAAACAAAGAGCTTCTTGTATCCAACTTTCAGAAAACCAATAATGGCTCCTTTTCCAGCCCTGCAGAATGGGGAACATAATGAACAAGCTAGTAGCAGTTATTTAGAAGAGGTTGAGCCAAACAAGGAAGAAGGGTTGTGGGGAGGAAGGTATTAAGAATGGAAAAGAACAGCATTTGGCACTCACGGTCGGGCTGAAGTGTCTTTGAGCACATACATGACATGGCGGTTACTCTGCATCCTTGATGCACTGGTGATGGGAGCAGGAAGCTGCTGGGCCTGCCAAGAAGACGAGAGTTTCTGCAAGTCCCTACCAAAGGACCTAGTGGCTTCTTTTTCTACTGTCCCCAAAAAGCCCACCCCCCCACTCCATCTTAAGACTCCACAATACCTTGGCAGAAGCCTTGCCCAGCTCATCTACAATGGTCATAATTTGCTGCTGCAGATCAACACTATAGAAAGAAAAGAGACAGTCAGATACTCACTGAGTTAGAGGGTCCTGGGCAGTCACTCCTTGGGACCCTGGGACACAACTCCAGCCCAGGTTCAGCACTTAAGGCTCCCTGCCTGTCTTGGAGTCTTCCAACTTCATTCTCCGCCCCATCCCTCTGAAACCCAAACTTTTGCCACACATCCTTCCAATGTGGTTCACTCCCTCCTCCCTGGAGGTTATTGGTGTGAATCTGAAAGGGCAGGTCAACCATATCCTTTGGGTGGGACCACAGAATAGGCAAAGGGGTGAAAGCTCACAGATCCAAGCACTGATAAACCCCCTTGGTTTAGGGTCAAAGGTCACCAAAAGAACGGGCCAGGACATCAAAAGGAGCGACCACTAGTCAGTGAGAGGGGGCGTGGTCCCTGGACCAGGTTTCAAGAGAGACTGGGAGAGAAGGGCCATGGGGCAGGTTTGAGATGTCACCGGGCCGGCGTTGTGGTTCCGGGTCGGCGGGCCGGGGGCCGCAGGTGCTGATCCAGCACCGTGATCCGCTCCGGGAGCAGCGCGTCCACATCGAACGGGAACTCCATGGCCCATTGTGCGCTGTCGGCCCCGCCCCACACAACGTCACATCCGCCCCCAGCCCCCCACCCCCACGTCTTTATTTCCCTGGGCCGCTGCAGGCGAACCCCGGACCCGCCCCCGCCTCATCTCCTGCCAGCTTCCTGGCAGCGGTCCCTGGAGACCGTGTTCTTCTCGCCAAGCCAGAGAAGGCCCCTTAGCAACGCTGCCTCTACGCCTCCCACAGCTGTGGGTGCCATAGCAACGTATTTTTTCGACTAGCGTCTCGTTCTCGAGCTTTTCAGCCCCTTAGTGAACAGCTAGGCATAGTGGGCGTAGGGGGCCACACAGTTGCCAATCCCTGGCTGCTTCTGGTCCCAGGAGGGAAGATCCCATGGTGAGGCTGCCTCAAGCCTGCCTTCTCATCTCCCCACAGCACCACCCCATTCATTTACTTATGTGAAAAAAACACTCAGCACCCCCACATAGAATGGCATTCATCTGAAGCTCGGGCCAAAGCAAGACAAAAACAGGAGTGACAAAGAGCTTTATTGTTGAAAAGCTAAGCTGACAGAAGTCTGGAACACCAACAGAATGTTTAACCCATCTATTTACATTGAGGGGTTGAGGTTTCCCGTACCCATCTGTACATCCTTCAGTCTCAGGTGTATTTACCCTGTTCAACAACCACCATTTGTTTCCTCTGGCCCTGGGCCTGCCACTGGTTACAAAATAGACACAACTCTTCAGGGTGACATGGACTATAATCTGTTCCCATCACGTAATTCCTCAGCTCTAGTCCCTCAGCCTCCCCTCCCAGTCTGCTGCAGCTCCTATACAGCACTCTGGGGTCCCGCCTGATCCGTGGAGGCAGCTTCAGATGGAGCTGTCGGGGGCGCCTTGGGCATTTTCTCAGGTGGGGGGCCACTCTCTTCCTGGAGATGGCCCTGGTAGAGCCGGCGGAGGCGGGACAGCTCTCTCTCTGGGGGCTGTTTCCAGCTGTACCACGGGTACCAGGGGTCTCCTGAAATCAGGGTAGGGGCTGGTGGAGTACTACTCACAGCTCCGTGGGAAGTACTGAAGTCAAGGTCACGGGGTTCAACCTGGGGAATGTGGTAACTGAGCAGACCTAGAGGAAATTAAAAAAAGGAGACAGATAATAAGAAAACCAACTTACAAAAAGAGACCAAAGAGGCAAGTACGGGCTGACACAACCTGGGCTCTGCCTGCCCTACAGGAGAGGGAGGTGGCATCTTTTTCTTGTTTGTGCAAAGGTGCCATCAAGCCCAGGGCCAGAAATTTGTACAAAGTTCCTCCTATGGTCTAGCTATGGCCTTGGGACCAACAGTTGTAAAATAAGAGAGAAAGAACAAGGGGACAGGGCAACGACATAGTAAGGGACTCAGGAGGGGGGCAAGTGACAGTGGACTGTGGAAAGAGATTCTGGTAAGAACATGTTAGGTGCTACCCTCTCAAATAAGCAGAAGCATTTATATCCATGCTCCAGACCTAATTCTTTCTGCCTACCAGAACTGCCCTATGGCCCTTCTCATGCTCACCATGATCCCTGGCTTTCTGGATGGCTTGGGTCAACTTCTTGTGCTGCTTCATACAGATTCCTATAGGGAGGAAGAAAGAAAGGTGGAGAGAAAGATAACTCAGCACTAGTTTTAAAAGGCACAATCAACAAAAGAACAGAACTGCTTCTACATGGTGACAGAGGATTAGATTTAGGAGACCTGGTTGTATCCAATGACTCCATTTCTCTGACCCCTCCAGGGCCTCAGTTTCCCCATCTGCCTGATGGGGAGAATCCTCCCTCTCTGAGAGCTGGAATGGGAATGAAGATTTAAGAGGGTCTAGCCACTACAGAAAGGTGACTGGGTGTTATGGATTAAATTATGTCCCCCAAAAATATGTGTTATAAACCTTAACATAGAGTATGCTTGTTGCCATGAGTCAGAATCGACTTGACAGCACACAACAACGTGTCTGTGGTCTAGCTATGGCCTTGGTGATGCAGAGGTTAAGAACTTGACTGCTAACCAAAAGGTCAGCAGTTTGAATCCACCAGCTGCTCCCTGAAAACACTGTGGGGCAGTTCTACTCTGTCCTGTAAGGTCACTATGAGTCAGAATCGACTGAGGGCAGTGGGTTTGGTTTTTGGTATACCTGTGGTTACAATTCCATTTGGGAATAGATTATCTATGTTAATGAGGCAGAATTAGTGTAGGGTGTATTTTGAGTTAATCTCTTTTGAGATTGTTAAATTGGACAATCCAAAGAGAAAGATTCAATAAAGGAAGAAGGGATTTCAGATCTAGGGAAGACAATCTGAGAGAGTAGCAACAATAGCCCCTTAGCCTTTTACAGCTTGGCTCAAAACTCCCTCTTTAGAAACTCTGACAAAATACACTCCAAAGATCATACTGCCACCTCCAATAACCACACTGTTGTTAGGTGCCGTCGAGTTGGTTCCGACTCCTAGTGACCCTATAGACCAGAGTAGAATTATCCCATAGGGTCTCCAAGGAGTGGCTGGTGGATTTGAGCTGCCGACCTTTTTTGTCAGCAGCCATAGCTCTTAACCACTGCCCCACCAGGGCTTGATTCAGATTATTCTTTGCAAATTTATCTTGCTTTAGGGCAGGGGTTGGCAAAGTTTTTCTGTAAAGGGCCAGAGAGGAAATATGTTAGGCTTTGGGGGCCCTGCAGTCTTCGTCTCAGCTATTCAGCTATGCCCTTGTAGCCTGAAAGTAGCTGCATAACATATGTACACAAGTGGATGTAGTTGTGTTTCAATAAAACTTTATTTATAAAAACAGGGAATGGGCCGGATTTGGCTTGCAGGCCATATTTACGGAATAGATACAATCCTGAATTATTAAGCTTACAATTCCAAATTTGGGAAATCTAATTGGATCGTCAATGGTATAAGAGAACTTACTTGACAGCCAATTTATTTATGAGAAAAGTAACTTTCTCTTTTGTAAAAGAGAAGAGACCTTACATTAAGGAAAAAAACACCACAATTTACCTTTTAAGAGCTATGTTTAGATAGATAGTTGGCTTACAGTGGTACCTGCCTTATGAGTTTTCTTTTATCTATATATCTAATTGTTTTAGCACGGGAGTATTACCATTAAGCCAAGATTTCCAAAAATATCAACCACATTTTTCATGCCTTAAGTAGGAGTCGGAAACCCTGGTGGCATAGTGGTTAAGAGATATGGCTGCTAACCAAAAGGTCAGCAGTTTGAATCCACCAGGTGCTCCTTGGAAACCCTACGGAGCAGTTCTACTCTGTTCTTTAGCATCGCTATGAGTTGGAATCAACTCAATGGCAATAGGCTTTTTTTTTTTTTTTAAGTAGGAGTCATGAACAAACACCTGTTGTCTGATTGAATAAACAAGGAGTGTCCTAAGGAAAAGCTACTCTGGTGGTGAGGAGGATGATGGGCTAACCTGTGTATGGAGCATGGAAGATGATACCCGTGTGGGCGCACACAAACTGTTCCAAGAGCTTCACATTCTGTGGGAGAGAGCAGGATAGAAACATGAGGAGAGAAGGAGGGGAGAGCAACAAGACCATCAGAGACTGAAAGTTCACAATCCCTCCACACTCAGATGGACTTTAATCCCTCTACACCTCTCAAGGTACTACCCTCTTTCATGGTCCAAATTTGTTCCATCAACTTGCTGCACCTGTTCTTGATAACTCCCAGCAACCTCTTCCCCCTTCCTGTCCTTTCAAGAACTACATGTGCATACCCTATGTTCTGTCACTGAGACTCAAAGAGAATTCTCTTCTGCAGGGATTAGGTTCTAAAGCCAGCCCTTTGGGCAAAAAACCAGGGATGGTCAAACTTGGAAATCCCTGAACTCACCCAGAAGATACAGTATATGTAATCACATACATGTATAAATGATTTAATGAACGTAACAGTGAGCAGTATATAACATATATACTGTTACCCATTGCTATCAAGTCAATTCCGACTCAAGAGATCCTGAAGGACAGAGTAGAACTGCCCCATAGGATTTCCAAAGAGCAGCTGGTGGATTCAAACTGCCTATCTTTTGGTTAGCAGCCTGAGCTCTTAACCACTGCGCTGCCAGGGCTCCATAATATATATATCGACTAAAAATAACTTTACAGTTTCAAATACATAGAATGACTCTCAGCCAGCAAGTTGCTCTTAGCAAGAGACCTCTGAAGAAAAAGCAGGTATACTTATTGAGTGGAATGGCAGAGAGAATCATCTACACTACTCAGTTTGTAATCTTTCTCTCTCTTGTTCTCTTTATAACCAATTATATACAGTTCAATCAGGGAAGTTATTTATGTGACTCCTCTGTAACCTATGTCAGAAGGAGATTAGAGCGGTCGGGCACACGACTGATACATGGATGCCCTCCAACTTCCCTGAAGACCAGCCATTCTGCTTCTACTCCAGTAACTTCACTGCAAGCTAAGAGGGGCACTTTCCTATTATCAGTTTTATAAAGTTGTCTAATTCTTTAAAAACCAAGTCCCGTCCTCTTCGCAATGTTGAAGGCTTTTTGAAAAAACAGCCTAGCAGAATCTATGCCTTGCTTCATATATCCACCCTCTAGCACCAAGTTTCAGCCTGCCATTGAACACTGACGTAGTAATGACACAAAAAAACTCAGAAAAAATTAGTCCAATATACTTGTTAATAATTCTGAAGTGAACCTTTTGGGCACTGTTCTCTTATTACAAATAGGCATTTCTCTTACCTGCCAACTTAGACTGTAAATTTCACATAAAAGGGATGAAACTTTTTAGTACAATCCATAGTAGAGGGGGAAGCAGGGGCGCTGGGCTATTAAGAAGCGTGGGGCACCTATGGTAATCTCTCTTACATTGCAAAAAACCAAACCCATTGACTGCTGAGTTGATCCTGACTCATAGTGCTGCCCCATAGGGTTTCCAAGGCTGTAAATCTTTACGGAACAGGCTGCCACATCTTTCTGCTGGGGAATGGCTGGTGAGTTTGAAGTGCTGACCTTTCGCTTAGCAGCTGAGCACTTTAACTACTGTGCCAACAGGGCTCCTTTTTTTTATACATACATATATATATATATATATATATATATATGTTTTTGTTGTTGTACTTCAGGTGAAGGCTTACAAAACAAGTAGTTTCTCATCAAACAGTAGTACACATACTATTTTATGACACTGGTTAACAACCCACAACATGTCAACCCTCTCCCTTCTTAACATTTTTTTTTTTTTTTTGGTGAAAATATACATAGCTAAAGACACACCATTTCAAAAATTTCTACATGCACAGTTCAGTGACATCGACTACGCTCTTCCAATTGTGCTGCTATTCTCACTTTAGATGAAGGCTTACAGAAATAGTTTCTCATTTAACAGTTAGTACACATGTTGCCCTATGACAGTGGTTAACAACCTCACAACACATCAACACCATCCTTACTCAACCTTGGGTTCCCTATCACCAGGTTTCCTGTCCCCTTCGGCCTTCTGGCCCTTGTCCCTGGACTGCTGTGCCTCATTAGTCCCATTTGGTTTTACGGGGCTGTCCACTCCCCGGCTGAACGGTGAACCTCGGAAATGATTTCACCACTGAGCTAAAAGGGTGTCTGGGGGCCATACTCTCGGGGTTTCTCCAGTCTCCTTTAGGCCAGTAAATCTGGTCTTTTTTTTGTGAGTTAGAATTTTGTTCTACATTCTTCTCCAGCTCTGTCCAGAACCCTCTGTTGTGATCCTGGTCAGAGCAGTCAGTGCTGGTAGCCGGGAACCATCTAGCTGTACTGGACTCAGTCTGGTGGAGGCCTTGGTAGCTGTAGTCCATTAGTCCTTCGGACTAACCCTTTCCTCTTATCCTGTTCTCTTCATTCTCCCTTGCTCCCGAGGGGATGAGACCAGTGGAATATCTTAGATGGCTGTTCACAGGCTTTTAAGATCCCAGACGCTACTCACCAAGGTAGAATGTAGAACCTTGTCTTTATAAACTGTGTTATGCCAATTGAGCTAGATGTTCCCCGAGAGCATGGTCCCTACAGCCCTCCGCCCAGCAATTCAGTCCCTCAGGGAGTTTGGATGTGTCTATGGAGCTTCCATGATCTTTCCTTGTACAAGTTGTGCTGGTTTCCCCTGTATTGTGTACTGTCTCACTCTTCACCCAAGATATCACTTATCTACTGAACAGGGCTCTTTTTAACACTGCAAAGAGGCTCCAAATCCTTATCCTGGAGAAAAGATCTCTGGATTCTCCTTACCCGAAAGTCAACGTGCAACTTGTGATCCCGGCAGATGGGGCAAGGGTTCCCAGCAACTTTATTCCCACGCTGTAGAAAGAAGAAATTGGCAGGTGCTGTTCAAAGCCCAGTCAGAAAAAATGCTGCTGCCACTGCCACCATGACCTCTTCCCCTCTCCATGTCCCACCCACGTGCCACCCTCAGAAACTCACGATACATGTCTTTCGAGTTCGCTGTGAGGGTACACCACCTTTGTGGTTGCGACGGTAGTCAGCCCAGACAGGGCGAGAACCATAGCGGTTCTGGTATTCTAAAATATGGAACAGCACAAGTTATTTCTGGGTGGAATAGGGAACAGGTCTCTGTGCACTTATCTCAGACCCTGATTCTCTTTTCCCCATCTAGAGATACCTTCTGAGTCCAGATATTTCCAGGGTTCATCCTCATAAGGAGAAATGGGAGCTGGGGGCAAAGAATCTTCCTCAGGAGAGGCTTTAGTGCAAAGAGCCTGGAGGGAAACCTATGAAGGAGTGAAATATGAGGGCATGAGTTCCAAGAATGGGCTCTATTATTTTGCTTTCCACATTTTGGGAAAAGGACGCATGCTCACTGTGTTAATGGAATGTAGCAGGAATATGCATGGAAAGTAGTACTTTTTGCTGCGGTTAAACTGGCACAACCAACAACTACTCTCCCTACCTTGAGATGGATGCTGAATGAGAAGCTAATATTAGGGGGTAACTAGGATAGGTGACGGGGGAGGCAATCTTACTTGAGAAGATGCTTCAAAAACCTGATACACATTAAGAAATTCAATGCTTTTTGGGAAACTGAGTCTGGTGGAGGAAGAAGAAAAAAAAGGGGAGCATGTCTGGGCTCTTGGAAGTAGATGTCTGGAGGGGAGGGGATGCATAGGACAAGTGAGTGTCCAACCCAGTACAATTCTGAGTCAACGAGCTGCCGAGCCTCATAAAAAGTTGAAGGTCAACATTCCATAGAAAAGAACAAACGAGTCCTAACGCTAGCATTAAAGCTCCCAAGCCTGTTATTAACTCAGTGGTGACCCCGTCTCTCCACTCTTCAATCCCACTTTAGGGAGTGGCACTTGGGCAAGCCTTCCCATCTGACACTGCCCCACTAAGAACCTGCCCTGCCTTACCAAGAACCTCCAGGGTGGTGAGTACGTGAGGCTGGAGGAAAATCTCAATCCAAAAGACTAAGTTCACTTTTCAAGTGATTTAGTGAGATAAAGTGAGTTGGGAAACTGGTCACCCAGGTCGTGAGAACGTATCCTGATTTTACTGAGAAATGGAAGAGCCAGTAGAAGGTAGGGTCCTTTAACCCAGGGACACTCCAGGCCATCGCAGATTTAGACACCATCTGCATAGGTGGTTGTGCGTAAGGATCAAGTCCAATACCTGGCTATTTAGGTTAGATAGTAATTTGGGAAAAGGATGACCTCTAACCCTGGCTCTCTGTCCTCCGCTCAGAATTAGAAAATACGCGCAATACTGCGGTGGGTAGGAGTGGGTAGGGTGGTAGAAGCAAAGTGTTGCCTAGACCGCCGAGACATGAGCACGTGGGAAAGTCTCCGTCTCAACCTCCCAAATTTCCGACAGTGGAGCAACGACCAAGAGAAGGTATAACTAAGTTAGGACTGTACAAAATGTGCTCCGAGGAGCTACCTGAACTCCGTAGGCACTTCTGAAGAGCGAAAGGCTAGGAAGCCGCCTCAGCAGCGTGCTCACTACAGGAGCCGCCATCTTGACGTACGCTCGACGCACGCGCGCCAGGGAAGGCAACTGCGCATACTCCCGGAACCTGACTCGTTAAGGACGAGCCCGCAGTGCGGAAGGCGGCCGCGCGCTTGCGTCAGGACGGAAGCGTGAAAGGGGGGGCCGTGGGGGGAAGCCAATTTCAACTGCGTCACAATCGAATTCGACCTCAAAATTGCATTTTTTCTAAACTAGCCACTACGACTTCTAGATCTCATACTTACAGCTTGCTTTTCAAGCAATTTCGAAGGCGATTTTGGCCAGGATCCTTTCAGTGCGCATGCGCCCAGTCAGTTATCTCAACCCAGGGTAAGAAGTGTTCGCGAGGGGCGGAAGTTGTGGAAGCAGGGGAAAGGGCGGTGCTAGGCTCTGCGGTCACGAACACGCAGGGGGAGCAGGAAGGAGGCGGAAGAGGGAGTTAGGGGGAAGGGCAGAGCGAAGGCGAAGGAAAGCTAGCCAATCAGTTCGCGAGTTGTCTTTCAGGTTGGCCAATGAGTTCACGCCTCGCGCACAATGTCTCGCGACAAGGGCGTTTCTCTAGCACGTTTGGGCGCGTTGGGCGGCGTCCCCGTATAAAAGACTCCTCCCGAGCGGCCAGCCGCCATTCTGGGGTTCGTTTAGAGGTAAGTTTTGATGATTTGTTGGTTTGAGGGTAGATTTTTGCGGAGAGCGTTGAACTAGGAAATGGAGAGTATTTATGGGTTCAGTTGAGAAACAGGGTTTTTATAAAGCGGCTGCATTGGGGTTGGTATTTGGAAGTATGTTTTGGGAAAAGAAGGTACTCTTGGGTGTTTTAAAAGCAATCGGTACTGATTACGTCTTTCTCCCTTGTGTTCCTTTTATCCCAGGTTTGAATTTTCTTGGAGAAAGAAAGGCCGGCCACGAGGAAAAAAAGAAACAAGCCGCAGCAACATCTAAGCCCTTGAAAGGATCCTGAGAGGGGGGAAAGGGAAAACAGCAGCCACCAGCCCAACCACTTGTGTCTTCTGCCCTCCCTCCCACCTATCTTGCCCCCCACCAGCCCACGCTGCTTGGGACTTGAAATCTGTGGCCGAAGGACCGTCACCACATAACTGCAAAAATAATCAACCACCCTCCCATCCTAAACCCACCCAAATTCACTCATCCAGCGTTTAAATTTTTTGAATCCACTCAGAACCTTTTTTACGACCCCCCCTCCCTAAATGGAGTTGGGTGGGGGGGGATGAATACTGAGTTGGCCTTTGATTTTTTTAAGAGACTTTTTGATCCAATGAGGCCCTTCTTCCCCAAATAATTGAGTTTTGGGTCCTGGTTGGTTGTTTTTTTCCTCCAAAATTTTAATCCCCTTCCCCCTGAGCCCGAGGTGCTGACGTCGCAAAAAAATTGGATAGTAAGTGTCGAATTTTCAAAAACCAGCCTTGCAACAAGAGATCAACGTTTCCCGTTGTGAAACCAAAAATAATGAGAGGAAGAAATGAGATCATAGAACAAATAGAGAACTGGAGAAGGACCGATTCGGTCACTTAATCTCCATTAAGAAGGGCCTTTGGGTCTAAACAGTCGTGTTCTCTCTCCCCTACCATCTACCTCTTCCCTGCCCAACTGCAGGCAAGGAGAGGGTGGAGGGAGGGCCAGCAAGTGAGGATTTTGACGGTTAACCCTTGGTAATCCAGCCAATTTCCAGACTGCCAAAGCCATAAGTGTATGTTTATAAAGAGGAATGGCTACTTTCCTCTGCTTAGCAGCAGTCTTCAAAAGGGTTAATGAGCTCACATACAAAAGATGGTGGATCTTGTGGCCCAAAAGTCCCACTTCTTTGTGTGTGAGACGAGCAGGGGCATCTTTAAATTGGCCAGATCAATAAGCAATCTGTACATAAAGATTGCAGGGTAAGGAGATAGGCAGAGAGAAATAATAGCTGGCTATGACTTTAAATGATTGTTAAATCAATTTTAATGTAATTTGCTTGGGGTATTTGTGTGGTTAAAATAGGTGGCAATCTAGGAATAAAGATTGCAAGACACTTAATTTAGGGCAAAATATAATCTTAGTGCCAATACATACAGGATAATAGTTGGAAAAGTAAAGAATGTCTTGTAATTGTTGCAGATTGCATAAGTTATTTAAAAGCAAAAATGATTTAACATTTTAACTTTATTTTATGGAAGGGAGGGATACAGTTAAATAGAGGGTGGAAAGTTTGGGAAATGTGGAATTCAGGAGTATAACTTTAAAAACCATTTAGTGCAATTGAATGCTAGCTTTCTAAAAGATTGTGTCGTTAAAAGCAATTTTTTTCTTCCCTGCTTCAATATGGCGACTTGTCCTTTTGTCTTCCAAGCGGCGTTGCAGTTTGTGTCTTGACCCATTTTTCTCCTGTCCTCCCACCTCAACCCATTTGTTGAGAGGGGTCCAAGTCCTCCCCTTTTCCCTTTATTGGGAGGAAGGGGGTGGTCGGTGTTGGTAGATTGAACCTCAATTGCAAATTCAATTCTCCCAGAAAATTGTTATTTTTAATATTATTTTAATTTTGTTTTTCCCACAACGCTCTTACTCAAAAAATAGGTCAAAGATTATTCAGCACGGGGGGCTGGTTTTAATTTTTTTTTCTTTGTTAACCGAACAGGGGTGTTTTATAATGTAATCGTAGTTACCGGCAGAGCCGGATAGCTTTTTAGTTTTGAGTCCTCTTCTCCATTACAAGATGGCGTCTCTGCCTCTTTGTTGCTTTTCTTCCCCTTTGCCATCCAGCGCTTAGGGCCGCCTTAGAAACTTGGTCAAGGGGGAGGAGCAGTACTGAAAGGTGATGTAATCAGCTTTCTTCCTCCACTCTCCACCCTCTTGAAACTCCACCCCTGAGCAGATGCCTTCTGGACTCTGAGCAGGCTGCTTGCTAAGGAGAAGACGGGAGAAGAAATTGTTTTTATTTTCTTCAGATGTAGTCTTTTATACCCTTTATCGTAAAGGGAGCAAAAAAAAGCTGCTAGGAATTACGTCTTGAGACTGCCCATCTCCTTGGGCAGCTGTAGTTTTTAATTTAGTGGTCAGAGTCCATTGCTTTGATGTTCACCTTTCATGCATCACAACTGCTTGGAAGTTTTCACCACTCAATTGCCAGTCAAACCTCAACTGTACTTTAAGCTCTCGGGGAGTGTGTGATTGTGTTTATCTGTGTGTTGGGGGTATACTGGGGAAAGACAAGGGCTTGAGAAAGTAACTTGAGTAGACAAATGGGGTCTAATAACACCAAAATGTGCCGTTTCTGCTCAGGAACCAGTCCTTGGGCCTCTTGCATTTGATCGTTTTGTGTAATGAGAATACGGGGGAGAGTGGGTACTTTAGGACTTCCTTCTAAATCGCCCTTATTCCTGCCTCTCGGTTTGGGTATAAACTCTTTGTGTTCAGTGCTGTGTCACGTTCTCCAGTTGCTTAGCTCCTGTACATTGGTACTAGGATGAGAAGTGAATCTTTAGGAAAAGAGGCGGCAGTGGTAAACTCAAGGCAGGGGGAATCAAGCTACGGTTTCTGGTAAGCAAAACCTTTCTGGTATTAATTACATTTCACAACCTTCATTTCTTTTTTCCAAAGAGCCACTTTTTTTGAATTTCTTTTTCCTCCCCTTCTAAAAACTCCTTAAACGTTGATGGGAAAATAGTGTCCTCTCCATTTTAACTCGTGCTGTAGCATTTGGTGCATGTTCGAAAGCCATGCCCTATCTGAGAGTGGTAGTTGGTGTCCTGTCTCTTACGTTTCTTCCTCGCAACTTTTCCAAAGTCACAAATCTTTCTCAGAATCTCCGTATACTTTTTATCCTTTAAAGATCTGCATTGAAAGGTGGAGGTTTTAGACAGAATTGGAAAGCCATTTTGTACAACTGTCCTGAGGTGACTTGGGCTAATTTTCTACTTGGTATGGACTCCCAAATTATTACTTAAACTTCTAGATTGGATGGGAGGGACTCTTCACATGTCTATTGATCACAAGTTTTTTTTTTTTATCTTTTAAGCAGTTTGTCATGTGCCTCTGCAGCATAGCTTCTTTGGGAGCTGAACATTCTACCCACTGGGGTTCCTGATCTCTAGCGAGCAGGGGCTTAATAAAGAAGATCTTCCTTAACATGGGAGATGGGAAGCAAGAAGGTCTACTAGGAAAACCAGATCCATCCAGAGAACCTTGGAGAGCCTGATCCCTGTAGTTGGTGGCCAGAGTTCTATTCTGGGATCCTTTCCTATGAGGAGTGGGGAGGGGGGGAGTGATTTTGGATTCCTTATTGAAAGGCATATAAACAGGGAGGTCATGTACCAGGTTTTCAGAATGATGGATAAGTAGGAGCTTACTACTTAAAAGAGAGGTACGACTTTGTGAATCATTTGAGAGACAAGTTCAATCCACTTTCGAGGCACACTAGGAAATGCCTAAAACACTGAGGAAAGGGAATACAAGGGGCTGAGTACGAAGCATTTTCATTTCCAGAAGTACTAAGACCCCTCAACGTTACAGTAATACAGGATTCCTTTTCTCTTTGTTGGAAGATAGTTCTGATCTATTTTTAAAGGGCTCTGACTTGCATAGAATTTTTATCCTGAATCAATTCACTCCTGTTTCGTTGGTGGTGGGTATGGAACAACTTTAGCCAAGCTAGACATTTTTCACCCTGTTTAGGTGGGATGACTCTCAAGTAAAATCCATTCTGGAGGCAGAAATCAGTGTCCCTTTCTGGACTTTTTTATCTTTGGTAAGATCTGTAGGAAATTGCCTTCTGCCAGTTGTGCATTGTCTCTGATACCAACATTGTCCATAAGGAAATCTCAGCTTAGGACAAGGTGAAGAAAAGGCCAGGGGGTTGCCTTTTCCCCCTCCGTTCTGTATGGTGTGCCTTCAAGGAAATTAGCACATTAAAAGAAAACATTCCCTGGATTATTTTGGTTCCAGAAAGCTGTCTCATACTACCATACTGGGCTCCAGGTCATTAGTAGGTGACACTTGGTCACTGCTCCTGCCTTCTCTGGCCAACTTTTTTTTGCCTTTTCTGCCTTAGGCCTGTGTCAGGAATGTTAAGCTCTTCATTCCTTTCCACTTGAGTGCCTTGCAATTTTTTTCAAAATGTACTGACTTCATAGTAAGGAAACTAGGTTGTAAAATGTTTAGGGGTGGGGGGGGAGTGGGGACGGAGGTCCTTAATCTTAAATGGGTAAAGACTAATCTGCCTGGGGGAAAGCCCAGTTACAAATTTGGTGCCCAAGACAAAATTCAGTTCGGTTAATTATATTTCCAAAATACGAATAATGGAAAATTAATCTTTAACATTTCTTCTGCTTTGTCTCCTGGCTTCCCTTGATTATGTCTCTCGTTCTTCCTTGGTTATTTGAATGGGAATTAAAAAGTTGTTCCTGAGTCCCGTTCCTGGCTGGAGGAACTACACAGATTTTAGCTTTGTACTCTTTGGTCCCTTTATCTCTGAGAATGGTTATTTTCTCTCGTCTCCCACCCACTTACGTGAAGGAACGTTTGAGCCCAGGTGATTGTTAAATGTTTTTAGAGTTCCTGAAAGAAATAGGGGCGGCAAGCCTGTTTGCTTACTTGGTAGCTGGATATGCAAAAGGAGTTCTCCAAGGTTATGTGTGTTCAGCTCTGGGTTTAAATTAGTGGAATCAGCTGTTTAGGGGTGACTAGTTTGAAGTGATCCTAGTTTGATTCAAGGCTTTTTGTCAAATTGCATATATTTTGTTGTGGAACCTAATGGTAGGAATAATTTTTTTTCTTGGTTATTATTTACACTGTTATTTTTGGAACCGTTCATTGCTTTTCCAGTCTCCAACAGATGGGACATCTGTTTTATGTCTCTTTATAGTACCTGTATATCTCTCTATAGTTTTTATATATCATTTTATAGTGTCTCAACTACATGGGAAATTTTACTTTATCCCTATTTCTGTCTTTGGGTATAAGAATTGCATATTTCAATGGATTTGGCCCACGGACTTCTAATCTGATCCTTATTCTACTTGAATATTTTTTCCTCTGACCTCAGGTTCTGCTTGTCCTCATGGAAATTCCAGGGCGGCAGCAGCAACAGCACAATTAACCCCGATTTGCTCACCTCTCAGCATTGCTTGGTTCATTTCCTTTTCTCTCTATGTTCTACCTACAGGTTATGATCTCAAGAACCAAGTCTGTACCACCACCCTATCTTTTCCAGGCTGCCTCCTCCCTGCTTTCGGCCTCTTTTTGCCTAGGCTATTAGGACTAATACATTTAATATGTTGAGAGTATTAAAAGATTGAAATTGCTATACTTAGTTTTTTTTGGTTTGTCATAGAACATATAGAACTAATTTGCATTATTTTATAAGAAACCTCTTCTGCTTTTGCACAAAAGACAATGTAGCCATCTTGTGAAATAAGAAACATTGATTTCTTCCACCCTCTGTTGGTATTGTGTCTGCTATTTCTGTATTAAATGCAGGAGAGTGTTTTCTCTTTGTGTCCTCTGCAGTGTTAGCCTTATTTACCAATGCAGATCTTACTGAGGTGGTTTTCTTTGTGCTTTCTGGAAGCCAGTGTTTTAGGCAGTGTAGATAAAAATCCCAGCCAGAACCATATTTATCGTGAAACCTCCCTGGAACTTGGGTACTGGCCTAGCAGCCACGTAGTATTAGTGTAGCTTTTAATTAACCCCTTTTCTGACTTGGTCCAAAGGAGCTATTTAAAATTCAGTGGCATTTTTCAAGCCTTTAGCTTTATTGTTTTCTATTTTTGCTGCCTACGTGGTTTCTAGTTTCAGACCTTTCTTGCGAATCTTAGAAGGCAGTGTAATTTAGGGGGAGAATAAAAGATCAGATTCCTGTCTTTGCTTTTGAAACCACAACCAAGCTTGCCCATAACTTTGAAACAATAAACACTTGTGCAGTATTTGGCTAATGAGTTATAGTTTATTCAAGCCTTAGGTAGACCTGCTTGATCTCCTTTGCATCCGTCTCCGTTTCTAGGAGAAAGGGTCTGTTTTCAAGTTTTGTTTTCTTCTCTGTCACTTACTGTTTCAGTTGATTGTCCACTGGTGCAAGCAGAACATACTCTGCCACTTTTGGTAATTATGACTCTTGATAGGCCAAGCTCAAAGGCAGTGGATCTTGTAAGACATTTAGCCCAGGCACTCAAGATTGGCCCAATTCATATCAAGCTACAGTTTGTTTTCTACAAGCCAGCCAAATTTATCAGCATTTGAGGAGAGGAGAGAGATCCTAAAAATAAGCAAAAAGTGCCTTGGAGAGTTGAGCATCTTGTTATGGGAACTCGAATCTTAGCTCTTTTAATACAGTCTAAAGTTCAGCTGTCCTAGGAAGGCTATAACTGGGAGAGACAGAAGGCTGTGCCCCCCAAGTCCTCTAATTGTCTTCCCATTCAGTATTAATCCTGGGCGTAATGTGCCAGGGCTTTTTTCTCAGTAGTGATGATGGTCGGTGTTGGATTTTATCTAGAAAATGCTGAGTTCACTTGAATATAGATTGAATAGTCATATTTTGTCAGATACAGAGAGGGGAACTATTAGAGGGCATACTGGGACTGTTCTTGCCCTCATTTATTCTGTGTTGTTTGTTTTGTCTTCTTGTCTTAGAAACCACGATCATGGGTTCAGGTCCCATAGACCCCAAAGAGCTTCTCAAGGGCTTGGATAGCTTCCTTAACCGAGATGGGGAAGTTAAGAGTGTGGATGGGATTTCCAAGATCTTCAGGTGAGTCTGTGCCCTCAGGATTCATTGTAGGTAGAGGATATTGAATGTAACGATACGACTCCAATTAAGGCAGACAGGAGTGAGTCTTTGAGAGGAAAGGGAATGTCAGTGGAATTGGATTCAAATCCAGTAATTTTAGGACAGGTGATAGGAAAAGATGATCTCTTGGTCTCTGGCCTTAATAGAAGGTGGAGATTTAGGTGTCCACATTCCCAAGGGGGTCACACTTTGGATTGAGCACAGGGGAGTCAAGTGACAGGATTCTTGGTTCTGTTTTGGGTCATGCTCCAAATACCCAAAATGTCATTTTCCTTCAGGGATTCTCAGCTTTCCCATCAGAAGGAAAAGCAAATGACCAAGCCAGTCTTAGACAGACCACTGAGGGATAGTCATTGAGGGCTAGGACTCTTTACCTGGAAGCAGGTTCAGATGGGTCCTGTGTGTTAGGAAAGCAGTGATGCTCACCTCCCCAGATCAGAGACTTCAGAGCCTCCTCAATTTTCTTCCACCGTCCCATGGTTTTCTGTGTCACTTCAGATCCATCCCACCCTTCTAGAGGCCTGTGTGACCTTCCAACTCTGGAGCAAAGTCCCAAGTCATCAGGCATCTCTAGGCACTCCCACAGATAGTAGACTCTTCTGCTGAAAGAAGAAGCTCACTCTGGCTACTCCATTTCTAATCTTAATTCATCTCCTACAGTCTGATGAAGGAAGCACGAAAGATGGTGAGTCGATGCACTTACTTGAACATTCTCCTGCAGACCCGCTCGCCAGAAATATTGGTCAAGTAAGTAGGGATCTGGGTGGCTGGGATGGGAAGATGTAGTTAGAAGTTGGGGGGATGTGTGAGGCATGAGGTTCCTAGATTGTCGATGGAGGACTAGGTGCGTGGCATGTGGTACTTCTGAAACCCAGGGAAGGGAGTTAAAGATGATCCTTCTACCTGCCTGCAGATTTATTGACGTTGGTGGCTACAAGCTTCTTAATAATTGGCTGACATATTCAAAGACAACCAACAACATTCCCCTCTTGCAGCAAATTCTACTGACCCTGCAGCATCTACCACTCACTGTGGACCATCTCAAGCAGGTACCTTCATTCTTTACAACCCTGGTTCTTCCTTTTCTGTTTAGCCTAACAGATGAGAAACACAAAGATTCTGATGTGGCTGTTTGGGCCTTGTGAGGTAGAGTGGTAGAAAAAACAGGAATTTGGAATCAGAAGACTTGGTTCAAATTGATCTCATTTAATAGGTGTATGGCTTGGATCCTTTCATATATCTGAGCCTCAGTTTTCCATAAAATGGAAATAATCACAACTGTCTAACTGGGTTGTTCTAAAGATTATGGTTTTATAAAAAGTAAAGTACCGTATAAATGTTAATTGCTATTAGGGGACTATCCAGAGGTTGTGAGTTGTGGGGGTAATAGTTCTGAGTGGGTTTCTTTTCCTCCTGGCATTTACTTTTCTGCTGCTTCCCATCTCTCCTAGAACAACACAGCCAAGCTGGTGAAGCAACTGAGCAAGTCAAGTGAGGATGAAGGTAGGGTGCCAGCCCTTCCCTGTGTCATGGGCTTTTCTCCATTACTTCCACACAATGACCTTCATTTCTCTCCCATTCTTGGATTGTCCCTTCACTCCTTCCTTCCTCTTCCTACCTTGTCTTGCTTTCTCTCTTTTAAAAGTTTACTTTCTCTATTGAAAAATTCTACCAATGAACATTCTTGTAGGGCATAGGCAAAATTCTGACTCTTTGAGTATAGCATAGATCTGATAATGACGGAGTCTTAACTTTCCTAAGACAAAGAGTTTTGGAGCTCCTGGCAAGGACCAGACATTCTGGCTTAGAAACAGAGTCTGGCTCCAGAAAGTCATAGCCTTTTCTAAATACTAGGGATTTCTTTAATCCCTGGCCAGTACATAAACCAGAAGCACAAGATAACTACTCTTCCCACCAAGTGAGCAATAATATATCAGAATCCTGTGTAAAAATACGGGATTGCTCTTTGAATGAAGGGTATTGTTTTTTAGGTCCTTTCAGTAAGAGGCTTTGGCCTATTTTGTATGGAGGGAGCTTCCAACCCTGGGTAAGCCTATCCAAAGTTCCTCTGGCTGTGGGAGGAAGCACTGGGAACACTCTTCCAAGATAAAGGATCCCAGTTTTGTTTTAATTCACAGACTGTTGAAATTAAAAAATATTCCTTTCTTTCCCATTCTTGTGTCATGTTAGTTCAGTTTTCGGGTCCATTTAGTTTTGAGATACTGAGTGAGCAGGTTGCTATTTTTGTGGTCTCTCAGAGTATCTTGAATCATAATTTATAGTATTACATAAAACACAAGGGACCCCATGAAATCATTTCCTATTTTTTGTTCTTGTTTTTGTTTTTTTACCATCGGGTATATTGTTACTTATTTCCAACTGACTGAATTGCGTTGCCTTCTTTGAATAAGGATTTAATTTATTATTCTGTAATTGTTCAGATTTTGAAATCTATTCACTCCTTGCCCAACTAACTGTAAGTTAAGTCCCACCAGACCATAGTGTCAATTACTTCAGAAAGGTTTTAGGCTAATCCTTGGGATGCCTTGGAGTTCGTGTTGCCTTAGGTACAGAAATTGCCAGTTGTTTGACTATTTTGAAAAGTTGGGTTTTAATGTTTTACCACAATTTTATTATTAAATGAATTTTTAAGTGGAAATGTTGGCAAGAAGAGAGGTCATAGTTAAGAGGTGTTACTCGCCAAGAACAAAAGGGAAGAACTATAAAAACATTTTTTCGTGTATTTAGAAATAGATTTTACTCTTTATTTTTAAACTCTTGGACCATCTTTTTTCTCTAGATAAACTCTGCTTCTCCAACCCTAAATTGGTCTGTTTTAAAGCTCTCTCTTCACCTCTACTACAATCAGTTGGGTTTTTTTTAGCCCTTATCAATAGCAACGTTCTAGGGAAAAAGGTTGTCTAGAAAGTCATTTTTAATATTGACCTGAATCTGCCTCCTTGAAACTTTTGCATTAAGCTTCCCTTTAGGACAACACAGAAAAAGTGTTTTTTTGTACCTCACAGCCCTTTCAGATCCTTGATGTTGTGTCTACCTCCGCCTGCCTTTACCCTGATTTCAGTTTCTGTCTTGTAGCATGTGGTTAGGGGAAAAGCTCAGGCACTGCTTTCAGTGTCAACTCTGCCATTTCCCAGTGTTGTGACCTTAGTCTCAGAGCTTCAGTGTCTGTGTCTGCACAGTGGGGCTAACGTGTTCAGGGTGTTGTCACAATTCCATAAGATTACATGTAAAGCAACTAGCATAGTTCTTAGCACACATTCTGTAATCAGTGTTAGTTCTTTTCACTCCCCAGTATTGTGAAAGCATCAGGGTTGAACGTAATCTGAGTAGAAAACAACTCTATGATTCTGTTTTTAGAGTTTGGTTTTTAAGCCTATCTCATCTCCTAAAAACGCTAGGTGACTTTTTCCATTTCACAGTACATTTTCAAACATCCCTATTTTCTGTTACTGAAGGAATTAGCGTTTTCATTTATTCAGGCATTTCCCTTTTCTCTCACTTACAGAGCTCCGGAAATTGGCCTCAGTCCTTGTCAGTGACTGGATGGCTGTCATCCGCTCCCAGAGCAGTACCCAGCCTGCTGGTAAGCTCTTTCATACTTGATCCCTTATATTTCTGTCCTTCCCACTGGGATCTGGCCTCCAGATGCCCCAAGCCTACTGCACCTCTGAATGACAGTATTTATATAAGTACACGCCTTTTTTCTGTGTCTTTTGCAATAGAAAAAGATAAGAAGAAACGTAAAGAAGAAGGAAAGAGTCGAACCACTCCTCCTGAGCGACCCTTGACTGAGGTGAAGGCTGAGACCCGGACTGAGGAGGCCCCAGAGAAGAAGAAGGAGAAGCCCAAGTCTCTCCGAACCACAGCTCCTAGTCATGCCAAGTTCCGTTCCACTGGTAAGGCTGTTGGTTAGCCTTGGGAAGTCCGTGGGCATATGCACACCCAGAGATTTGTGGTGGAATGGTTTGATTTGTGATTTGTTAAACCTGTAGAAGAGGGCAGACTAGTGGGAGAAGCTTTGCGGGGTGGCTTTGGGGTCGGGGGGTGGGAAGAGTTTACAGGATAGATGAAGACTTGGGGGTGGGAACAGGGAGGAGAAGCCAGGAAGGTAGGGGGGTGAGTTCAGCTGCCCACACCACGTCTCTGCCTCCAGGACTAGAGCTAGAGACACCGTCTTTGGTGCCTGTGAAGAAGAACGCCAGTGCAGTGGTGGTTTCTGACAAGTACAACCTGAAACCCATCCCCCTCAAGCGGCAGAGGTAAGGAGCATGTTCTGGGTTTCAGAATAGAGTGGCTCTGTGAACCTGAGTCGGGGAGGAAGGGATGAGTCAGAGCTCCAGTTGCTGGTGGTAGTGTTAACAGTCTGTCTTCTGCAGTTCCACAGCTGCTCCAGGAGATGCTGTCCCCCCTGCAGAGAAGAAATACAAGCCACTCAACACAACACCCAATGCCACCAAAGAGATCAAAGTGAAGATCATCCCTCCACAACGTGAGTCTTAAGTGGGATGAATTGAGAGCAAGCTCTTTTCATAGGAATGAATGTCGTGGGAGTTAGGAAGTTTGTTTTTCTCTTTAAAAAACTTTTCCTCTTTGATTTTTCAGTGCCCTCTAATGCTTGCACGTCTTTAACTCTTTTTTTATAGTTACTTAGGAGAAATTTTGGAGATAAGGTAGGGAGGCATATCGTTCGGTGACTGGTGACTAGGGACACTCAGAGCTAAGCAGGATTTTCTCTCCTGCACGCAAGTGCTCACATCAGTTAGTTACCTGACCTCTAGTTCCTGTCCAAACCCATGGTTGCAGCACCTGCCAAAAGAAAGACATTATAACAATTTGTGTGACTCCTCCTGCATGTGCATCCTGACCACCTTGTGGCTATTGTGTCATAGTATGAGGCAAGGTCTCCATCAGCCCATTTTTGGCCCAGCCTTTTTCCACTTTGGAATAAGATTGTGAAAGAGGTCTGATGATTCCATTTTACGCTTTTTCCTTTTTTAGCTATGGAGGGCCTTGGCTTTCTGGATGCTCTCAATTCAGCCCCTGTTCCAGGCATCAAAATTAAGAAGAAGAAGAAGGTGCTGTCACCTACAGCTGCCAAGGTATGGGCCCTGGGAAGTGGGTCCCAGGGACAGGGTGTAGGAGTAAAATAGAAGGAAGGACACAGCAGCTAGGAGTGGTTAGGGAGGACAACAGGAGGAATTTTGCCTTGGCTGTAGACAGGCGGGGTGGGACAGTGTTAGAGACAGAATCCTCCTTTGTAGGAACCATTGGGGTATGTTTTCTAGGACGCTGGACTTAATTCTTTGCCTTGACCATCCTGTCAGCTCATTAACTTCTTTTTCTCTCATAATAGCCAAGCCCCTTTGAAGGGAAAACAAGCACAGAACCAAGCACAGCCAAACCTTCTTCCCCAGAGCCAGTCCCTCCTTCTGAGGCCATGGACACAGAGCGTCCAGGGACCCCAGTACCCCCTGTTGAAGTCCCAGAGCTCATGGATACAGGTGAGTCTAGAAACTGGGTCAGGTTTTTGAGGCTTGCTGAAAAAAAGGATCTGGGTCTGATACCTTTTCTGCTTACAGCCTCTTTGGAGTCAGGGGCTCTGGATGCGAAGCCAGTGGAGAGTCCTGGAGATCCCAGCCAACTGACCCGCAAAGGCAGGAAAAGGAAAACCGTGACGTGGCCTGAGGAGGGCAAACTGAGGGAATACTTCTATTTTGAACTGGATGAAACTGAACGAGGTAAGAGGTCAAGTGTGCTATATAATAATAGATGGGCATAGGGAAATTTGAAAAGGACTAGGTGGTTCTTAACTTCCCTTTTTGCTTTTTTCCTCCCTGTTTATAGTAAATGTGAATAAGATCAAGGACTTTGGTGAGGCAGCTAAGCGAGAGATACTGTCAGACCGACATGCATTTGAGACAGCCCGTCGTCTGAGCCATGACAACATGGAGGAGAAGGTGCCCTGGGTGTGCCCCCGGCCCCTGGTTCTGCCCTCACCGCTCGTCACCCCTGGAAGCAACAGCCAGGAGCGATACATCCAGGCTGAGCGGGAAAAGGGGATCCTTCAGGAGCTCTTCCTGAACAAGGAGAGGTGAGCAGAGTGGGATTCCTGCCAGGGATACAGAGCTCTTGGAGTCCTGTCCAGAAGGAAACATGACCTGGGATAATTGAGAAGGGAGTAGAGATTAGAAAGAAATCTGAGGTCTGGAATAAGTAATCTGACTCTCGTTCTTCTTTCTTCCTTTGCCTGCGGCATTCCTGATAGTCCTCATGAGCCTGATCCTGAGCCCTATGAGCCCATACCCCCTAAACTCATCCCCCTCGATGAGGTGAGTCTGTGGGTGGTGGTGATGATCACTGATTTTAATGTGTCTTTCATGTGAGAATATCTTCCTGTTCTTTGTTAGTCCTGATTTTCCCTGTTCTTCTTTCAGGAGTGTTCCATGGATGAGACCCCATATGTTGAGACCCTGGAGCCTGGGGGATCAGGTGGCTCACCTGATGGGGCAGGTGGCTCCAAATTACCTCCTGTTCTAGCCAATCTTATGGGCAGCATGGGGGCTGGGAAGAGCCCCCAGGGCCCTGGAGGAGGAGGCATCAATGTCCAGGAGATCCTTACCTCCATCATGGTATGAGACTTCTTTCCCTTTATCCACTTTCTATGGAACTTCCCTGACTGTTCTCTTCTGTCTCCCTTTCTCTTTACCCTAGTTCTCCGTATCTTCCCACTTAGTTCAGCTTCCTGTTCTGGCTCTCTTTCTCTACCTGTTGTTACTTTTGCTGTCTACTGACCTTGTCCTCTTACATCCTCACAGGGTAGCCCAAACAGTCATCCCTCAGAAGAACTGCTGAAACAACCAGACTATTCAGACAAGATCAAGCAGATGCTGGGTAATCTTCAGGGCTCGGAGAGGAAGCCTGCAGTAGAGTTGGGGGAAGCAGGGTTTCACAGATCCTGAAGAGCAGGGTATTGCCACTAGGCAAGAAATGGAAGGGGAAGCCTGGGCAGAAGAGGGCATTGCTCTCTAGGTTGGTCTGAGAGGATTGATTGGGGTCCCTTGGGGCATCTGAGCATATCTAGAAATGAGAAGCCATGTCGTTTGTCTGGAATCAGCTTGCTGATGGCTGTACTCCCTTTTTCATCACAGTGCCACATGGACTCCTAGGCCCTGGTCCAATAGCAAATGGTTTCCCACCAGGAGGCCCTGGGGGCCCCAAGGGCATGCAGCACTTCCCCCCTGGCCCTGGGGGACCTATGCCAGGTAGGTGGTGAGTGGGCTTATTTGCTTAATTTAGGCCTGATAATAGTGTAGAGTTGACAAAAAGGTAGGAGGTGATTTAGGCTGGGGTATGGGGGTTCCTGAGTGTCACAGGCAATTAATATTGTCTCTTTATCTTTTTTTATATACAGGTCCCCATGGAGGCCCTGGGGGTCCTGGTGGGCCAGTAGGTCCACGTCTCCTGGGTCCCCCACCCCCTCCCCGAGGAGGTGATCCCTTCTGGGATGGCCCAGGTGACCCCATGCGGGGTGGCCCAATGCGGGGGGGTCCAGGACCTGGTCCTGGCCCATACCATAGAGGCCGTGGTGGCCGAGGAGGAAACGAACCTCCTCCTCCTCCTCCATTCCGTGGGGCCAGAGGAGGTCGCTCTGGAGGAGGACCCCCAAATGGACGAGGGGGTCCTGGTGGGGGCATGGTTGGAGGTGGGGGTCATCGTCCCCATGAAGGCCCTGGTGGGGGCATGGGCAGCAGCAGTGGACATCGTCCCCATGAAGGCCCTGGCAGTGGCATAGGTGGGGGGCATCGTCCCCATGAAGGCCCTGGTGGAGGAATGGGTGGGGGCAGTGGACATCGCCCCCACGAAGGCCCTGGCGGAGGAATGGGTGGGGGCAGTGGACATCGACCCCCCCATGAAGGCCCTGGTGGAAGCATGGGTGGAAGTGGTGGACATCGCCCTCATGAAGGTCCTGGACATGGGGGGCCCCATGGCCACCGGCCTCATGATGTCCCTGGGCACCGAGGCCACGACCATCGAGGGCCACCCCCTCATGAGCACCGTGGCCATGATGGCCCTGGCCATGGAGGAGGGGGCCACCGAGGGCATGATGGAGGCCACAGCCATGGAGGAGGTGAGGATACTTCCTGCCCCCATATGCTTTTGGTGAGAGTCTGTATTCCGGGTTTGCCAGACTGAACATGAGGTCTGCCTCCTTTTTGCTTTCCCAGCATGCATGGCAGTTCCTTCCCTCAAATCCCCAAGACTGTGTCTCTGACAGACATTTCTTAGGATCCCATAGACTGTGGGGGAGTGGTTGAGGGTGGCATTAATCTCTTCCGTGCCTATCTAACCAGTCCACTATCATTCCCACAGACATGTCAAAACGCCCTGTTTGCCGACATTTCATGATGAAGGGCAACTGCCGCTATGAGAACAACTGTGCCTTCTACCACCCGGGTGTCAATGGGCCCCCCTTGCCCTAGGGACCACCTATCTGCGCCACCCACACAACCCCCTGTGGACTGCAGCCTTGCTCCTTCCACCCTATTATGGCTTCTGTGAGGCCCATTTCCCCCTTTCCCCAGCTGATGAGGAGCCGGCCCCCTCAGTTCCCACCTGCTTGGGTTCCTGGGGGTTTTCTGATCACTGGTGCACATTGATGTACATATTTTCCTCCAGTCTGTGGAGGAGAGAGACTGAACATGTTCGTACCCCTGGACTGCTGAAGAGGAGACCCAGTTGACTTCACTTTTTGAGGAGATTCGCCCTGTACCCCAAACCCCTTTCCAGTTTTACCCTTTAGCCTGAGAACCTAAAGCTGGTTATCCTGGAGAACACCTCTGCTCTCCTATTGTGGATCCTCCACATGCACATAGAACTCTGACACGGGATCTGCTGCACTTATGAAATCATCCCAGCCAAGTCCATTACTCCTCATGGGGTGGGGAGGTGGTAAGGGGTATTGTCTATCCCACTGCACTGAGAGGGCTCAATCAGGCTGGATTTGAGTTCTGGAACACATCATCCCCACTCCTTCCCCTGACACGGGCTTTACATTCGGAGTTCTTTCTCAAGTAAGACTTTGCAAACCTTCTGTGAACATCGTTTGCCTCATGGGTCTGCTAGGCTCAGTGATGGCAAATTCTTGTCTACATCCAGTGAAAGTTTTAGCTGGCATAGGTGAGGGCCAAGGTGTTCGTCTGCCTTTGCTACAGCTCATTCTAGAGACTTTTTAAAACACATCAGTGAGACCAACTTTCATCCACTTGAGCCCGCGCACCAGGTCTGTCGTCACACTACATGCACTGCCTCTGGGAGCCGGCCTGCTCTTCCCCCATCCAGAACGTTGTCAGTGTGAGACTTCCAGCTTCCTCACCCTCTCAGTCACCGGAATTCCCACCTGGTGCCACCCTGGGTGGATTCAAGATGAGCTTGCCCTTTCCCAGCCCTCTCCTTCACCTGTCTCAGCATCAGTTGTTTTCTATGAAAACAGTGGATTGGTTGGGTTTTGTGCAGGGTTTTGGGTTAGAGCCACAATGGATTTGAGAACGAGTATTTTTCTTTTGGTTTTGTATATTTTGTACATTAATAATAAACAGTGGAAAGAGAAGCAGCTTATTTAACCCCTGGTGTGTTTGGACTCTTTAAAGGTGGCCTGGCTAGTATCAGCTGTTGTAAGTACATTGATGCAAACCTTTGTGGAGTCTTTCAATCATCTAAATGGCCCTAATACAGGGTCGCTATGAGTCACAATCGACTCCATGGCAACAGATTTAATACTTGTTCTCTTGAGCCCCGGCTGGCACAATGATTGCAGGAGCTCAGCTGCTAACTGAAAGGTCAGTGGCCTGAACCTACCTAGTGGCTCTGTGACAGACCTGGTGATCTGCTTCCATAAAGATCACAGCCAAGAAAATGCTATGGGGCAGTTCAATTCCATTATGGGGATGCTGTGAGTTGGAATCTACTTGATGGCACTTAACAATTGTTCTACCTTCTAGTTGCAGAGTTAGTATTAAGTACTGAAGCAATGCTTTGAAAAATATATAGAATGCTAAATACAGGGTGCAGGTAGATCCACTGGTCAGTGTTCTTCGAGCAGTGGGAACTTGGGGAGCAAACAGCTCTTTGCTGAGCTTCTGAAAGCTGCAGACTTGGTGTTGGCATAGCAGCAACAGTTGAACCTAACATCCCTGTGAACTTGCTTAGAGAAGCAATTTGAGTGGAGGGGCAGGTGCATAAGAAGAGCAGATAGTGTGGCTGAAGGAGAAAAATTCAAGAGCAGTTTCAGGAAGAAAGGAAACAGGTTGCTTATTGCTGATTTTCAGAGCACTTTCAGTGAGAAGGTGAGAGGCCAGGAATGGGAACAGCGTCAACTGCTCTTACCCAAAATGTGGCTCTGTAGAGGAAAACGGGGCTGCTGCTAGAAGATGCAGCAGAATGTTGGTATTCATGTTATAACATTCGTGTATATTTTATATATCTAGACTAGTGAACTGAAAATATTAAGCATAGAGTGTAACATGAAATACATGTATTTTAATAAAGGAATTTAAAACACTTTACAAGTAATTACACATCTAGCCTTTATTTCTTAAAAATAGATAATTGAGGGCCTAGCTGATATGACTCCTATGCAGACAGGAAGTTTTGGAGACCAGAACATGGAGTGATAGGATTAATTTTAAATTTGAAGTTCTGCTATTCTTGGAACCAGAAATCAAAGTCTATTATATTTTTTTTGTGTGGTGAAAATACACACAACAAGCATATTGCATTTTTATGTGGGGTGCAGAGACGCGGAAAAGGGTAGAATGTTGGGGTGTGTGGTTTGAGAACTGGTTTTTTACATGCATACGTGCATTAAAATCACCTGGAGAGCTTGTTAACAAGCAGATTAGGGGCGGTGTCCAGGAGAGTTTGAGTCCATAGGTTTGGGGTGGATCCCAAGATCTTGCATTTCTAACAAATCTAACAAAATCAGGTTTTGGTGATGCTGCAGGTCCAGAAATCACCCTTTGAAAAGAACCACTGCACTGGAACACAACGTCTTGGCTGTTATTTCCAGCACTGGCCACACGAGGGCAACAACTTAATTTCACAGGCCTCGTTTACATTTAGTAAGGCTAATGGGACCTTTTATCCTTTGCCAAGTCTTGGTATGTTCTTGTCAGTCAGCCTATTGTTGCGCTGGAAAAGGAAGGCCTCAGAAGGGATGTAATCAAGGGCCAAGCTAAGTGGTGAAATACCAATGAAGTACACAGTTCAAGTACAAAACCCAACGAACATGTCACAATCTTGGGTATTTTCCCTCTGGTTTCATCTGCTGCCTGCCTCTCACACTCTCTTCCCTGTCTCCTGCAACAGGCCACGAGAATCTTTAAAAAAGAGTTTGTGCTGGTTTTAATAGTTTTTTCTATATTTCAATTTAAAAATGAACTCATAACCATTTTCTTTCCAATCTTCCATCAAAATCCAAACCTGTTAACTTTTTAAATATGTGGCCCTTATCAAGAAAATACCTTCCATTTTTAGACGTTCTCTTTCAAACTCCCCTCCCTCCGACCTACCAAGTCATCTCCAATTTGAATCATCATTATTCTATTTCTCATATCCCTGTTCCCATGCAGTAAATCTAACGGTGACAAACCATAAAACCCACCGTTGTGGCTCAGTACAAATACTAGCATTGGTTCAACACTCATGGCTAGTTGGCAAACTTTCTCTTCTCTCAGGCACCAAAATACTAAGAAAGTGAGTCCCATCCAATGCGAGTGCCATTCCTCCTTCTGAAAATGCCCAAGTCCACATTATCTTCCTTTTCAGAGGAAGAGCATCTCCTTCTTTCCAAGATAATGCCTAACTTGGTCTGGCAGCCCCTCTCCCGGTCTCCCCCTTGCCTCATATTCTCCACCCATCAGCCTGAACAATCTTGTAAAAACCAGATCAATTCACACTCCTGCTAATATACCACCAATAGCTTCTCGTCAATCCTAGAATCACTTCAACTCCTTATAATGGCCCTTACTCATGATCTAAGCTCCACATATGTTACTTGACCATGTCAAGCTCTTCCCATCCTCATGCTGGTCCATTCCCTGAGGGCTCTTCCTTTCCATTCATCTAGTCAGTTCCTCCTCTCAGGTCTTGGCTTTAATGTTACTTCCTCTGAGAAAGCGTCCCTAAACAATCTGAAGGACACCCCCGCCCTGTCTCTCCCAGCATCATGTTTTTCCTTTATAGCACTGTTTACAACGTGTGATCTATCCTAGCACTCCTGCTGAAGTTCACGGTGATGGTGATGCTGATGCTGCTGGTCTGGGACCACACTTTGAGAACCACTGCCCTAGAAGAACCAGTTGAGGTATCTTTCTTGGTTTACACCCATTACAGGCCACAGAAGAGCAACAAATTCTGATATTCCAGGCCCATCTGAGTCTAGTATGGCCTAGAGGCTCTTCCCTGGTCTTGACGATTATTTTCACTACAGCACTGACATTCTTCCCTGAACTGCATTTGTTCCTAAAACACAATCCTATCCTGGCTAGTTTTGGCCCTTTAGGACAGAGTAGGGAGGAGAAAACCAGGACACTGGAGTCAAACTAAGGAGTCCTGTTGGCAGTGGTTAAGTGCTCGGCTGCTATCCGGAAAGGCTGGTGGTTCGAACCCACCAGCCAATCTGCAGGAAAACATGTGGCAGTCTACTTTACTTTTGTAAAGACTGCAGCCTTGGAAACCCTATGGAGCAGTTCTACTCTGTCCTATAAGGTCGCTATGAGTCAGAATCAACCCAACAGCAATGGGTTTGTTTTTTTTTTTAATAGTGCTCGTTATATACCACTTTGTGCATGGTTTGTTGGTAATCAAATTGTTTACAAATAAGATTTCTGTTGCTAAAATTCCAGTTTCCAGTTGCCTATAAACCATACTACGTAAATGATTTTCCTTTTGCATTGCATTTTTTTGCATACTTCTGTCCATATCTAAGTTATAGTTATAGTATACATATTATAAATAAATGAAATCTGTGTTCATGGACAGAAGTTATCCTGGAGCTGAAGTACTTGTAGTGAAATTAGTGATCAAAAGCTTGAAATATAAAAATTTTGGTATTCATTTTATAAATAATATTCCTGTATATGTTATGTATCATCTCATCTAGACTAGTGAATGGTCTGAAAATGTTAAGCATAAAATGTAGAGTAAGATAAAATACATTTCAATGGAAGAATTTAAGCACTTTACAAAGAATTACACACTAATCCACTTAACAGCCCTCTGAGGTAGGTACTATTTATCACCTTCTTTTTACAGATAACGAAACAGGTACCAAGAAGCAAAGCAGCCTGTCCAAGGTCACCCCACTGGTGGACTGGATGCTTGACTCCCACTGTTCTGATACATCTACTTCACAGAACGCTAGAAATGAAATTACTTTATATATAACATACTTAGGTGCCGGCACAAGCCCCTGATGTTTTTTGCCCTCCAGTTCCTTAAGTGTTTCTCTCTAATTTGGAGATATCCTTTAACAGTGCTTTTGCAACTATCAAACCTTCCACACCAAACCTTCACTTACAGTATGAACCTTGTACTCAGGGTCAATCCAGTTAATATTTCTCATTGAGACGTCAAACTCAAGGTCTTAACCAAGGTCACCCCATTAGTGGACAAACCAAATAGCTCTTCATATTCTCCTCTGAACTCGATACACCTCCTGATCATTCTATTCTAACCCTCACATCTAGCTCTTTCCATATATCCTGTTCTTTTCCATTCCTATTCTATTACCCTGGTTCAGAATTTAGTCACCTCATCCCCATACCAGAAGTTAGAGTCTATCCTGTAAGTTTCTACAGTCTACCTCACACATCACTACCTAGAAACTCTACCCAACCACCACTACCTCTCCAACCTAATTCTACAAGAAAAATGGCCACACCAGTCATGAGTCCTCATTAACTCCCAAACAGCCTTGATTTTCTTCCAAGTCTTATATCTGCTCTTTTCCTAATTTTGAAACACGTCCCCACCCCTTCCCTGATTATTCAAATCGTTAATATTTTTTAAGGTCTATCTTCAAGTGATCCTGCGAAATAATCAAGCCCTGAATAATCCTGAGTATGGAGCAATTCAGAATCTAGAGTACAACCCATGTGGTGATTAATCATGTCACATTGTAAGCTTGTGTTTTATTTTTCAAGTCTTCTCTAACTGGACTATGAATGAAGGCAGACTTTGTCCCTTCTTGTATATACCCCACAGCACTACACGTCGGCTGGTTGATTTCATCACTTCTGAAAGGATCAGTACTCTGGTTTCTGACCACAGGACAAAGCACATCCTCATTCATGAGGACAACTTGGACAGTGAGAGCCGAGTGTCCTTGATGGAAGGGATCAATCACTTTCCTTCCCCTTGTCTGAAGAGCTGGGGGAAGGGAGGGAGGGTTCTGAAACAGCAAGCACTCTCTACAGCGCAGTGAGACTGCAAATTAGATCCATCTGTATTAGTGGGGAAGAGGCAATGCTAAATACTGCTAAAAAATCAAAGCGAGACTGAGAACAGTTCCGGCTCCCATGAACCTCCAAACAGTAACAGGTGGCAGCGACTCCTCTCCTTTCCTTTATTCCTTCCTCTTGAAAAGGAAGGTTCAAGTTTAGCAGCATCCCCCTCCTGACCCCAAGTTCCCACCAGACAGAGACTGCAGGCACCAAATCCTGGGCTGAGTAACAGCACAGGCCTCCAGCTCTGCACTCCAACAACCGCTTGTATCAGTGAGTTAGCACGAAGTCCACTAGGAAAGAAAAGCACTACGCAGAGACCAGGGGGCAGGTAGCTGGCCCGAGGCAGGCATCTGAGGGAGGTAAATGGAACATCAGGGGCCTTCCAGGCCACATAAGCTTGGCAAGATAGAATCTCACAATAATGGTCACCTCTGTTTGTTCAGAGGAATGTCAAGGACAAAGTCAGCTCAGTTATCTGAAAAGAAGCGGAACAGACAAGTCTTTCAGGGGAAAGAAAGCAATCATAGTGATAACCTGGTCACATCAAGTCAACGCTCCACCTTCACGTGACTGAGCGGTTGCTGGGTCAGCTGCAGGCCAGAGGCAGGTTTCAAACTGGTGACAGGGAGACAACAGGGGACTTCAAGGCCACACAAGCTTGTATCTTGGGGACCTCCAGGAAGGAAAGCTCACTCTCGGGGCCGGTTAACCATGACTTCACCGAGGGCCTCCAGCACCTCCCGCTTGTAGTCCTCGAAGTCACCATCGATCTGGCTGACACTCTGCTCCTCCACCACCCACAGCTGGCAGTTGGTTTCTGTGATGAGTCTGGCATCGTGGCTGACGATGATCACCGCTTTGAAGAAAGGAAGGAATCAGAACACACAAGAAGAGAGCTCCAGCTCAAGGACACCACAGCTTGGTCCCCAAGAAGAGGGGGTATGCTCTGACTTACCACCCTTGTATTCATTGATGGCCTCCCCCAGAGCATCAATAGACTCTATGTCCAAGTTATTGGTTGGCTCATCCTGCAGAGGAGGAATTCCATGACTCAGCACTTACAGCTCCCCCATCTCATTACTGTTACCCGTGTCCTCTCTACCACAGCTCACTCACCAAGATGAGGACATCAGGCTCCCGACAGGCCAGCTCTGCAAACACAACTCGGGCTTTCTGCCCACCTGCAGCACAGAACAAGGAGGTCCATCACACTTTCTACCATCATATCTCTGAAGTTGAACCATGACTATGTGTGCCTATGTGTGTGCTGAAGCTCCCCCAACTCCAGGTTCCTCTTGCTTTCTGCCTGTAGGTAGAGTTCCTAAGTATGAGTGATAAGAAGGGTGCCCCTCTCACCCCCCTACAGTTGTACCAGAGAGTTTGCAGATCTGGATAGTGTGGGCATGACTCTCTAGGCCAAAGCGGCCCAGGCACTTCCGGGCATCCTGGTAGGGCAGGTTGAAACCACGCTGCAGGTACTCAGTGGGTGTCTCCTCCATGCGCAGCTGCTCTGCGTACTGCTGGTTGAAGAAGCCAATTTTCTGCCCGAGTGGAGAGGGAGGTGGTCAGTGAAAGTCATACTTTCTCTGTCAGATTTTTATTCTCTAATTCCCAAAGCCAACTTACCAGCCGGTGATTCTTTCTCATTTCCCCACGGGTCTGCAAGGAAAAGGCAAGTGGTAAGAGGGAGTAGGGAATGGAAAAACGGCTCCATATCCTAACTTTTCTGAATGGGAGACAAATACCAGATTAGGCTGGGGACAACTCAGGTTAAGAAAAGGAACGTGGATGTTCACCCTAGCATGACAAAGACACACCCAGGAAACGAGAAGAATGAGACACAAAAGGGGAGTAAGAGAAGGAAACAAAAGAGAGAAGACAAAAAGGGACAGACTCAGAACCAGAACACCCACTTCCCAAACAGCAACGGTTCTGCGACAGCGACACTAAGAGGTGGGGGTGTGGGTGTGGGTGTGGGTGTGTGTGTGTGTGTGTGTGTGTGTGTGTGTGTGTGTGGGTGTGTGTGTGGGTG